GAAACAAATATACCCAAAAAAGCAGTGAAATTAATGATATTTATATAAAGGTTTTAATCAGCCAAATGTCTTCATTCCTCCCGTAACATCCATGGACCTCTCGATAATTATTGGCGCATCTACAATTGAGGAGATCAGTATGGCCATCAGACAAATCAAGAGCGGCAAAGCAGCAGGACCAGGCAACATTACAGCAGATGCACTGAAAGCAGATGTGGAAGCAACTGCGAAAATATTTCACATCCTCTTCAAGAAGATTTGGGATGAGGAACAAGTACCATCAGATTGGAAAGAAGGATACCTCATCAAAATACCAAAAAAAGAAGATCTCAAGAAGTGTGCGAACTACAGAGGCACCACTCTTCTCTCAATACCAGACAAAGTCTTCGACAGGGTATTGTTAAACAGAATGACGTACTTCGTAGACGCCCAACTTCGAGATCAACAGGCCGGATTTCGTAAGGATCGATCGTGTACTGCCCAAATTTCTACATAACGGATCATTGTGGAACAATCAAACGAATGGAACGCGCCTCTCTATATAAACTGTGCGAAAGTAACAGTTTCCAATTCGCCTGATTCTCAGTCGAGTATTGGGAACATGCACCCTATGTACATGACTGTCTGGATCACAGCTCGTATCAAGCGCGTTCCATATGACCTTTCCCAACAAATTCATGGTTGCATTCTTTTTTCCTCATTTCTTTCGTAGCTTGCATGTCACAATATTTACTAATAGTACACTTAAGCGATCGATATTCATGTCTTTGTCTTCTTAGTGATATAGCGTGACATATTAAATGGGTGATTTAATGAATCAAGCATTTCCTTGCAGACCCATTATGTCTGATCGCATGTGTTGATGTTTCGCCTGCATTATGAGCGTTTTTGATATTCTGAGCAATATTTTTTGTTGTATGGAAATATTTTGATATGAAATATTTTGGAAAAGTAGCAGACCTCAAAGGAAAATCCCCAACAGCCTACCTCTTCTAAGAACATTTGTTGATGAACTTATCGAAAATTAACTACAGATGTTGTCCTACTGATTAGACCTTCCACTCAATTCATGTTTTTAAGTGTAAAGTATCGACCTCTGACATACAAACACGTTGAGTTACGTGGAATGGGAGATGCTCATAATATTCATCTTGCAGGAACATGTAAATCATGGACATCTGAAATAGTAGATTAGTAACTGAGATACCCGTAATGTGTGTGTTTCGCAACAATAGGGAAACCTGAATTCGAGGCGGAACAGCCCTTTACCGATGACCCTGTTTGGTAGCAGATGAAGTATTCACTCCAAAGTTTATCACTTTTGATGAACTTCTATTGCACTGTGCAAGATTTTCCTCCACGTCAAGATGTTTATTTGAAGTCATCTACAGAACTCACTGCAGACACCTACAATAATGGTGGCGACCCTAAATTTGATGTTGGTCCTTCCGCCTATCCGATGTGGTTCATTTCATAACGCTGAAACAAGCTGCCTTGGTTACAGACCTAGAAGTTTAGAAGCCGGGCATGCATCACTCTAATTTTTTAGCCAGGATGAGAGGCTAGCATTTCAGAACGACCTGACAACATTCTAAATCTTATCCAAAGGTGAGTAACAAAGTTTCCAAAACTATGCTGAGGTCGCTATTCTGTCGAGACACACGCAACATTCTTAGTCAGGCGCTTACAGTATGACTTACAGGTTGGCATTCAATAATAATAATAATAATAATAATAATAATAATAATAATAATAAAAATAATAATAATAACAGTTAGACGGTAAGAACTTTTAATCATCAATGTTTTCTTTTTACAAACTCTACTCTTTCGATTTCAACGTACATAAATCCAGCTTCTTACTTCGACTTCTCTTCTATCCACCTGACACTGCACGACTCTTCCTTCTTTTTTGCTGTACTCCTTTATCTGTGGTTATATTCTTATATTCCCATAATTTACTTTAATTTAAGTGGTCAGTATGAATTTGATCTTGACTTACTACTGTATTGACTACTTCAACATGACAGGTTAAGTAGTGCTTTGGTTATATAAATACACTTGCCACACTGCTGCCTTTTTCTCTCTCTTTTCTCCTTTTCAGAACCCCATTCACGGTGGGAAATCCTTGGCGATTCTAGGGAACATGCACCCTATGTACATGACTGTCTGGATCACAGCTCGTATCAAGCGCGTTCCATATGACCTTTCCCAACAAATTCACTATTGATCTCGGCAAACCGCCAAAAGAACTTATTGTACACCTTCCTTATTTGTACTCTACTATTGAAAATATGGCTGTATTATACTGTTTCTGTCAGTGACATGGTTTAAATATGATATCAGAAACTGACTCTTCTACTTAATTTAACTGCTAGAGCTTTTACAGTAATTGTGAAAGCATTTGTGACAATTTGATCTAGCCTGTAAACTGGCGTGACTCTCGTAACGTAGTTATTTGAGAATAAATATATATTATCATGTTACTTATTATGTTTCCTTGTTAATCACGTCTACGACTCATGTTGGTAACATTGCCTTGGTATTGACTTCCTAGCAAGAAATCCTATTACAAGCAGATCTGGACAATTATACTGTAAAAGAGCTAGCTCATGACTTCTTGAGCTTCGGAGTTAAAATGAAAAAGAATAAATAAAATATCACAAAAGCATCATATCACTGTGCCTCATTATTATATTCTCTAGACCAACATTATTGCTAACAATTTAGTTCTTCTGGATTTCCTCTATTCATACGACTAATTGAGCACTCGTTATCTTACTAATGAATTGTCTTCGTTCACCTACATAAGTGCAGGTATACAGTTAGTGTTCTAATATAAAACGTTTGTGTCATCATACCTTCGTTTTATTCTAAAAAGTATCTTCTGAGTCATTGTTCGGCTTTAAACAAGAATATTTTTGCTCCTCCCCCCTTTCTCGTTATTTCTCTTTTTCAACGGCTTGTTCAAATCCGTCAGTGTTTATTTGGATATTTGACGAAGACTTGGTTACTTTACACAGGAGCCTGTAAATGTATTATCTGAATAATATCAACAAGAGCTTTGCCTGACTTTGACATAGCCTGGTATGCTACAGCATTGCTGTAAGGCTTGAACAGGGCCACAGTCATCGTCGTATCAACTACGTTGACGACCTACAACTTTCAGTGTTTATGCTATCCGTTTCTAGGCCGTGCAGCCGTTTTGAACTTACTACCGTTCGTCACTATGCTGAGGTCGCTATTCTGTCGAGACACACGCAACATTCTTAGTCAGGTGCTTACAGTATGACTTACAGGTTGGCATTCAATAATAATAATAATAATAATAATAAAAATAATAATAATAACAGTTAGACGGTAAGAACTTTTAATCATCAATGTTTTCTTTTTACAAACTCTACTCTTTCGATTTCAACGTACATAAATCCAGCTTCTTACTTCGACTTCTCTTCTATCCACCTGACACTGCACGACTCTTCCTTCTTTTTTGCTGTACTCCTTTATCTGTGGTTATATTCTTATATTCCCATAATTTACTTTAATTTAAGTGGTCAGTATGAATTTGATCTTGACTTACTACTGTATTGACTACTTCAACATGACAGGTTAAGTAGTGCTTTGGTTATATAAATACACTTGCCACACTGCTGCCTTTTTCTCTCTCTTTTCTCCTTTTCAGAACCCCATTCACGGTGGGAAATCCTTGGCGATTCTAGGGAACATGCACCCTATGTACATGACTGTCTGGATCACAGCTCGTATCAAGCGCGTTCCATATGACCTTTCCCAACAAATTCACTATTGATCTCGGCAAACCGCCAAAAGAACTTATTGTACACCTTCCTTATTTGTACTCTACTATTGAAAATATGGCTGTATTATACTGTTTCTGTCAGTGACATGGTTTAAATATGATATCAGAAACTGACTCTTCTACTTAATTTAACTGCTAGAGCTTTTACAGTAATTGTGAAAGCATTTGTGACAATTTGATCTAGCCTGTAAACTGGCGTGACTCTTGTAACGTAGTTATTTGATAAGAAATTATTATTATTATTAATAAATTTGTTTTCAGGAGACCGAATCAAACCTTGCTAAATAAACTTCAAACCATAGATCTTCTTTCAGCAGTTTATGTTTCTCAGAGGTGACCACTTGATGATTAAGGTTTAGCGGGACGAGTTGGAATTGACTGTGATCATCATGAAAGGTTTATTAAATCGCACTTACCGGGTAAAATACCTCCTTGAAACCAGGAGAAGTTTGGATACAGGAATGAAGGCCTATCTGTTGGCGATCTCGTGGTACCTAAAAAATACCGAAATCGTGTCAAAGGGTACAGGCGAAACTACCGTGAGCACAATCACCAAGATGAAGGAGACACGAATGGAATGTGGGTGTGTACAGTACAGTTAAACAGAGAGTAAAGTAAAGGCTGATTTTGTTCAGAAGAACAATGAAAGCTCCACAACCAAAACATCCAATTTACAGAACGAAACTTCACCACAATCATCCACTTTAACTAGAAATTTTCTCTACCATCTCAAACGAAGAGTACAGTAAATCAATCACTAGTATGGTTGGTTATAATAGTAAATGTTTCTTTTAAACCAATTGCGTTCGCTTCATAAAATGTATCTTGTACACTTCAGGCCATCCCAAAAATACCTACTGAAGCACATAATTCCTAAAAGTAATACACAGGAACTAGGAATATGATATAAAAGAATGGACCGGTGGGAGCTTAGAAGGCCTAAAACTTCTCCTCTCATTGTCGAATGCGAGGTGATGTTATATTGGCATTCCGTGTGTTAAATAATGATTTGGGCGGTAACTGACTGAGTCTTTTTTCTCCTTTCTTTTTATGGAGAAGCTAGATCCTCAATGGAAAACAAGGGATCATTACAAAGAACAAGAATCGAGCGCGAAGAAACCAAATTGGTTTACATTAGCTCGTGAAAAAGATATTGGATATTGGATATTGGAAGTCAATCGACAAGAAATGCTGTTTGCGTTACAGGCGCCACAATTGTATGATGCTTTCGCAATGCTTTACGAAGAAGAAAGACATCCTCGAATGCGTAAATCAAGAAAACATCAAGAAGCTGTGCCACTTTTCAGTTAGTCGCTATGGGCTAGTGGATAACGATGTTAGAAAGGTTGTATGGCCAATTTTAGTAAGGGGAAATTGTGGACTACCAAACATAGGTAAACTACTCAGGCTGTAAAAAATATAATGTTCAGAATACTTTTGGGGTTTAAATTGCTCTTGTCTGAGATTTTGTATGAACATCAGCGTATACGGTTTTCGATTCCAATCGTGTGTGACTTACTATTGCTCTTAATTAGTCAAGTGTGTTTCAAAACATATTCGCTATTCTGGTTGGCTTTCAGTCTAATATTTACTGAAACATCTCAGTCCGCACTTCACATAGAGTTCAATGGACTAAATCTTTGTGGTTTTTCACAAACCTGAACTCTTGTAACCTTTTTTGCCGGTACCATAACTTGGTCTTCGATGTATCTTATTAAAACATTACCTAGGTTGTATGACGACATGGCATTACACGGAAATATCATCTAAATCGTTGGTATTACGAGTAGTTAATCGTAACTTTCCTGAAATCTTTCGTCTTAACTATTAATGAATCAACAAAAATAAATTAATGGGATTATTTGTTCATTTCAACACCCAACATTTATTTGTCGTGTTTATGTCTAATCCTTTTCTAACTCTCCGTCGTGAAAACGCAGTGTCTCTGCAAATTCTGGTTTTCCGAGGGAAACACCACTGCCGTCACCGCTCTACTGCAGCACGACTTCCTCCACAGACATTAAGTTGCTGCTTTCAGTCTTATCATTCTCCAATCGACCTGCATGGCATGGTAGGGCCTAAAGAAACATGTGGCTCAGTCATTATAGCTCGAGTGGGTCACCACTTCTAGATAGCAGCTATGTTCGTGTCGGTCGGCCAAACCAAGTCATGGCACAAATCTGTAAAGTAGCTGGCAACTGGACTGAGCCATGTTAGTAGGTGAAGACAACCCAGTTGCAGTCCGAAACACAACTGTAACTGGTGATTAGAGACTTAGAATGACATGGCTCAGAATCGCTTGCAATGATGCAGATGCATCCATTCTTTCAAATTCTAAACTGAAGTTCTTATGACTTTTTATCTCTCTTTAAATTTGTTTCACTGGATTGTACTTCTCGAATCATAATTTTGAAGCCTAATCTTTTCCATTAACACCAATACCGCTATTAACTCTACTACTATGGTATTTTAATTAGCGATTCCGTGTGTGTGGTAATACGGTATGACAACTTGAACAGATGTACGCACGTACCAAGTTACATGTTTTAGCTGACTGATCGGCTGACTTTACAATATGCATCGTCACAACAAGTGTAGCTTGGATAATTAGATGAAACTAAATTTTCATTATGGTGGTTTACGGCTTTTTTATCCTTATTTTGCCTATGGATTTGAGAAATGTGTTTAGGCAAACACTCATTTGGACACCTTGATATGCTACATTTATCCCCCCGTACATCAGTAAGATATAGTTCTAACCCATCAACTATCATTTGAGAGCCAAATATCTAAACCAGTAAACTTTAGCTCTATTCTGTTATATTAGTTAGTAAAATATTTTTATAGATATTTGGTTTTTATTAATTAATCCTCTATAAGCTTGACAAAATGCAGCTAATCTATTCGCTTAATGAATTCGAAGTCCCTATACTAATTGGTTCAAAGTTGACAGACCGCTTTACTTTCATGTTTCTAAATTAGGTAATCCAGTTGTATTTGTAGCGTTTATATGCGGTTCTTAAGTTAAAACTAGCAAATTAATTTATTAACGGTCGTCAGAGTCAATATACGAGTTCCTTTTTTTTTTACCGTTTATAGTTCTTTGTTGCATATAACAAACTGTTATGTTTCATTATTTACTCAATGATCGAAATCAAATTTCATCATACGAACACCAAGATCATAATAATTCATTTCGTCATACTATTCAAAATACCACTTCGTTTATTTGTTTTCCTTCACGCAGCTTATGTAGAGAACAAGTTCATATGTGTGACTTTCGTTCCGTTTTTTGCTTTTCAAAGTTAGATCCTGAAGTGATAAAAAATCATCCAAGCTTTCATCAAGTTCAACTGGACACTTGTCGTATGACAAGCCTAATGCCTAAGGAATTAAATCCTGAAGAAATCGAAAGTATACAAAGGATTGTTACTCGCCTAGTAATTTCTATACTAGTGGATAATCCTAATTTACATTATTATCAGGTACGTGTAAATATATCTAAGTGTAGTGATTTTAGCTGCTTATATTTAAGGCTGATTTTTTAAAATAAATGGATATCTATATACTGACATCATTTAATATCACGGGGGCGCATATGTCGTCTATCCCGAAAACATAATATCCTTCGTGCTTCGGCGTTTTGTATCTATTTTCTTGGTTGCATTTGGTACTTGGAACTTGTTTTTGGAAAGTAGAGGTAACTAGAAAAAGTTGATTTCAATCGTTTTAAGCCATTTCACTCTGATTTATAATAGCTGGTCTGTTCAGGGCCTCGTGATCAGAAGTACAGCAGAACATAACTACGTAACTGTGAGAATAGCAATCATTTTCATAATAAGACTGATAAAGTTTTGTACCAGGGACAATTTAATAGTGATCATCAGTCATTGTGATGTACAAGTTTGGTCATGGGAACGACTAAATGACAATTAAAGCTGATAAACAATTATATCATATGGAATAGAAATAACGTAGCTAGCAGTGGAATTCAGGAAGCGCGTTTAGCTCTATTAGCGGCTCGTCAGCTGGATGTACCTACGTCTCAGAGTTGGTAGCCACTCGTGCAACAAGTATGAGATTCAATTCAATTTAAAATGGTTTGGATTACCCCCGTTGTTGATATTTCGGCATATGGGCATCATATGCCGGTTGCCTCGATATAGCCATTATGGCACAAGTTTATATAAAATAGAATGTGGTTAGCGGTTGGACCCCGGAGTAAACATCAACTCTAAGATTCAGGTACATCCAGATAACGAGTCCCAAATAGGGTTCCACTGCTAGTCACATCGTCTGTTCTGTATAAACTTATCATAATGGCTAAGCAATCTGCCTAGGACTCCCATATGCCCACACAAACTGATCAGATTTCAAGCTCACCAACAGGATAGTCCAAACCATTTCAAATTGAAATAAATTACATCATAAACTCAATTAACTAAAAATCAGCAGATAACGCACATTTTTAGAGTGAAAAGTTTACTGCCTTCGGTGAGATTTCGAATAGTGAGCGGTGAACGTCCGTACTGTTCTCAGTAACCATACCTAATTTCTTATTACCACTCAGTCAGATGCAACGTAGAACTTTGTACATAAGTACATCAGTTCATGTTGCCATACCACATCAGCACAGAGAAGTAAATGTCAATTCAAATCCAATAGTAGAAGAGGTAGTAACGGTATTAGGAGTAATCGGAGAGGTTAGGATTAGAAGATACTATTCAAGAAGTATGATTCAGTGAGAAAAGTTTAGAGAGTCGAAACTAGAGGGGTTGAAGAATCCAGAAGATTAGGATTTGAGAGAACACAAAGAATAAATGCACCGGCGCCATTGCGAACGATTTTGAGCCATGTCATTCAAGGTCTCTAACCATCGATTATTATCATCTCCCGGACCCCAACCAGGTAGTCGACAATTACCGACATGGCTCAGTCCACTAGTCAATGACTTCATTGATTTCTGCCATGTTTTGGTTTGGCCGCCCCTAACTTTCTTCCAGCCTACTCCTACACAACAAAACAAAGTTCGTCGAGGCAGTCGGTGGTTCGGCATACGCAAGACATGTCCCAACCACCTCAACTGATGAAGTTTCACCACTTCATCTATCACTCTCCCATCCTTACCTAGTACTCGTTTCCTAACGACAGCATTGCTCACTCGGTTGTCCCACGGTATACGAGCAGTGCTTCGAAGACACCTATGCTCGAAAACCAGTAACCTACGAATATCTTCTACTCTCACTGGCCATGTTTCACAGCCATATAGGAGAACGGAGCGAACTGCTGCACAGTACACTCGTCCTTTGATTAGAGAACGGATATCACGCCTACGCCATAAGTGACGTAGGTTGGCAAAAGCCAATCGAGCCTTCTGAGATTTCGTCAGTCACCAGGCCATCGGCACTGATGAGACTACCGAGATAAGTGAAGCGGTCTACACGTTCGACTACTTTACTCCCTATCACTAGTTCAGGTGCCGATGCAACCCAGTCTTGAAGCAACATTTTGCATTTCGAGGGGGAAAACCGCATCTTGAACATGCTTGCATTGTTGCTTAGGGTAGTCAGGAGACTCTGCATTTCGTCAGCATCTTCACCAAGTAGGACAATGTCATCGGCATATTCTAAGTCAATAAGCGAGCCTCCTGGTAAAAGGTCCACTCCCGAAAATTCAGACGAGGATAAGGTTATTTCTAGGAGCATGTCTATGATTAAATTAAACAAGAATGGAGAAAGTGGACATCCCTGACGGACACCACTTGAAGTAGAGAATTCCGGTGACAGTTCGCCATAAGCTCTCACTCGACCAGTGGTGTTTGAGTAGAGAGCTTGTATGAGGTTAATGTACTTATTTGGTACACCTTTCAATGACAGACACTGCCAGAGAACCTCACGATCCACTGAGTCAAATGCCGCCTTAAGGTCCAGGAAAACAACTATTGTAGGACGCCTAAATGTGTGTCTGTGTTCCAGGACCTGTCGTAGTGTGAAAATGTGGTCTATGCAACCACGACCAGGTCGAAAACCAGATTGGTTTTCTCGAGTTTGCTCTTCACGAGCTTTCATTAAGCGTCGAAGTATTACTGAGGCCAATATTTTAGATACTATGTTAGTTAGACTTATTCCCCTGTGATTGTCACAAGAAGACTTCTGTCCTTTCTTATAGATTGGGACAATCAGTGATTGAGACCAGTCGGATGGGATTACGTCCAGTTCCCAGATTCTACCTAAGATCTCAGTCAACCTAGCTGCTAAAACTGGACCACCATCCTTAAATATCTCAGGGGTCAGTCTATCAGGACCCGCAGCTCGTCCTCGCTTCAGATTTCCTAACGCTTTTTCAACTTCATTAAGACTAGGGGGAATTACGTCGATTTGCCATTCAGGATGACTGGAGATCGTGGGTAACCGAAGAGTGGCTCGAGGCCAGTTGAACTGATCCCTAGTGTTCTGCCCATCGATCCAGTCTCCTGGATTGAGAATGGATAATAATCCCATCCTTTTCCGAGATAGTCTCACTCACATTCGGGTCCTTAATACCAGTTTCTTTAATAAGGCGGAAAAGTTGTCTAGTGTTGCCGATCGCCGCTGCCTTTTGCATCGCTTTTGCTTTCGCCACCCACCACTGTTCGCGATCGTTACGTAGGCTTTTTATAAGCCTGCGCCTAAGTTGACTTCGTTCTTCATCATGTTCAGAGCTAGGTGGGATGAGTTTTCGGGCATCCATCAGATCGGTGGATGCTACTGAGATCCACGGTTTCATTCTAGCCTTATGGTCAACCTTACTAGCAGATATCACTGCTGTTTCCACAGCCTTTTTGATATCATACCAACCTGCTTCTGGATGGGAATCGCTTGCATGGTTGCTTAACTCTCTTTCTAATTGCTCCTGAAATATTTTCTTGGTTTGATTATCATTAAGTAAAACCCTAAGAGGCTTTCTTACGGTGTCTTTCCTACGTCCAGTAAGCCTTAAACAGATACGAGCTCGCACTAGAGCATGATCTGAATCCAAACATGTGCCCCAGAACGAGCGACAGTTTTCTATCGAACCCCTCCATGGGTGGCTGATGGCGATGTGATCTAGTTGAGTCCAACGTTGAGACGACTTCGGAGGTCGCCAGGTCAACAGATGCTTTTCCTTATGCCTAAAGTTAGTGTTCGCTAAGAATAGGCGGTTATCTGAGCATAGTTGCAACAGACGGTCGCCATTGTCTGTTCTCTCAGTCGATACACCATAACATCCACCAAGATGTCTTTCCTTTTCACCTAGTCTACCTACTTGAGCATCAAAGTCACCAGCCATTATTACTATATCAGAGCGCCTAGCTTTTTGGAGGAGGTCCGAAAGCTTTCTGTAAAACTCATCTTTAACCTCGTCTGAAGTGCAGTCAGTGGGGGCATAGGCAGATATGACGAAGAGGTAACGGCGAGTGTCCTTATCTTTCCGAGTCCTTACTGTCCCGTTTAGTCGGACAGCGCACAAACGACTATCTACTGGGATCCAGTCTAGGAGAGATAATTCTGCCCTAGGACTCAACGCTATGCCTACGCCAGCAAGACCTCTGGAAGCAGCATCAGGGCTACCGGATACACGAAGAGTGAATCGGGCTGCTTCTTCGTTTTGACAAGGTGGAATCAGGTTAATGACTTTACTGGGATCCTGTATGCGCGTTTCAGCATACATCGATGGCACGAGTTTCCAAAGTCCTAGCTAATGATGCCTGTTGCCCTATTTGACACAATGTACGTACATTAAAAGCTCCAACATGTAGTCTAGAACGGGGTTTCCGGAGACCAGGAACGATGTTTCGTGATCTCGCTTCGTCTGCATTAGCGGTGCAGTGAGAAAAGGGAGTGTAAGTAGAGTTAGTCGTAGCGATAAGAGAGACATTAGGGGGTGTAGGAAGGATTTGATTTTGACCAATTTGGTCTCGCGTGTTGTTACGGGTATGAGGGCGGTTGTCACTTCACGGCCGCCCACACCGTGGAAGGTTGTTTCTTGAGGGACCTGAAAAGGAAGATGGATTAGTGTTGGTGCGTGACCGCAGAGCCCAAGGGACAACTGCTTGAGGCCGGTCACGCACGGCCTTTTTATGAGAGGTATTTAGAGGATTAGCTCCGTTCTTAAAGGCCCTTAGTGGGCACCCTTACCCAGGGAGACGGAAATCCGTGAGTTAGGGGAGGTGTGACATTTTTAGGGCCGACCTTTTCTAACCCTTCCTTCCTTGTGAGAAGGCAGCATCGCTGCAGATGCTGGTTGTCCGAGGGAAACACCTTACTGCTGTCACACCCCTCTGCAGTCAGCAGTACGACTTCGCCCTTAGACCTTGGGTAGCTGCTTTTAGTCTCATCGTTCTCCAATCGACCAGCCTGGCATGGTAGGACCTGCAGGAACATATGTTCCAGCCAGTATAGCTCGGTTGGGTCATCACGATAGGCAAGCCCGACCACCACGTCAAGGTAGCAGCTTCGGTCGGGTCTTATTACCACTAGCATACTAATATTAGATCAGGGAAGTCAATTATTTCAAACTATTGTTTTACAGTAAATAGAAAATATACAAGCAAGGTATATGTTACAGTTTAGTCATTACTATAAATTTTCAGTCATTTTGACTGTTGTTTCTTTACTATAATAAAATAAAATAACATTTGAAAATCGTTCAGTGTAACAGATTATTCGAAAAGCATGTTTTAAACGGAGGGACTGATTTATACTCATCATAAAACTTATGTACGATATAACTGTATGAATATTATTGTTATTTTTGTCGGCGAATTTCGGTTAAATAACTCTCATTCAGAAGGTTTTTGATTTTCACCACATTTAAACAACTTTTTTTCATTACTGTTTGTTTAACTGTTACAATAGGATACATCCATCTGAATAATTTTTATCTTTGATCCTCTTTATTTTCAAGGGTTTTCATGATATTTGTTATATATTCTTTTCGGTTTTGGGTGAAAAAGAATCTAGAATATTGCTTAATAAATTGATCCCAACTCATTTCAGGTAAGTGCTCATGTAGGGAGTTATTACAAGCATTTTTTCATGACTCCCTCAATCATTACCAAGTGTCTCGCATTGTTGCTACGTTCAAATAAGTTTTTATACAGGATGACAATACATCAAACTTGATATCGTGAATCAATATGTGATATCTAGCGATTTATCTTACTTCATATGAACACCAAAAGCAGAAATTTGAACGGTGAACGAAATTCGCTTAGACTAGGCCGTTGTGACATATATGGTTTAGTAATTTCCTAATAATAATTGTTTAAAAAACAAGGATATTACGTTGCTTTTATATTACAATATATCAATAATTAACTACGTATTTATAAGGTTTTATGGTATATATGTCTTAAGCAAACGTAACTTCTCTTACACTATTTGAAGACTTAACATTTACTGAATAAAATATAGGTATCGCTAGTACTGGCAGGAAACAGTTTATATGGGTTAAAGGGAGTTATCAAAATAATTTGTGGAGGTTGTTAGCCTTTGGATTTAGTTATGTGACTAACAAAATAACTGGATACTGCATGATAACTACCATCAATGTTTGGAAACACCCAAAGGATATAGTTGGGAAATATTCACTTGTTTTTATTTTTAATCTTGGAACAGTTCATAACCTCTACATTATTGCTGTCCAGAAGTCAGATCTTATCCGATAAAAGATAATGTAACCCTTCAGTTTGTGAAACTGTTATATCTTGATTGCAGTTAACCAATATCACATACCAAGTCACCGATCAGAATCCAAATTCTAATTTGGTCTATTTGGCGGTCTATTATTTCCTCAACAACCTAGTGTCGATTGTACACCCGACTAACACTGTTGAATCTGAGCCAGTAGTTCCTATCAGTCTGCTTTTCTCAAGCTCCTCTCTATTCCCTACCTTGAGTCTAACAGTAACAATCAGCCTCTACTATATCTGTATTGTGGTTTATATACAGACAGATGGATAATAACTATTGTAGATGAACAATCCAAAATTACCTGTGAACAGGGCAGACTTAGTAATACAATAGGAATAAATTCTGAATAGTAAGCCGTATGACTAGTTAATAGGTTACCGAAAGCTTATTTCAAGTGAAACATATATATATATATATATCTTGAGGGAACTAATGCTGTCTGACGGACTCAGTCTTGTGTCACCCAGCTTCACAGTTAGGGACGTTACCACGGAGCTCTATGGGCCGCAACTGACCTCTGGGATTGAGATGTATTCGCATTTGGTCGATTACTGGGTAGAGACCGATTTTGTGTGTGTTGTGTCCTTAGTGTTAATCGAATTTCCGACTGTAGCTGCTACATTGACGTGATGGTTGGGCTTGCCTACCGTGATGACCCAACCGAGCTATACTGCCTGGAACATATGTTCCTCCAGGTTCTGTCATGCCAGGCAGGTCGATTAGAGGACGGTAAGATTAAGAGCAGCAACTCAAGGTCTGAGGGCGGAGTCGTACTGCTTGTTGTAGAGAAGTGTGACAACAGTAAGGTGTTTCCCTCGGACAACCAGCATCCACAGTAATGCTGCCTTCTCAAAAGGAACGAAAGAGTTAGAATAGGTCGACCCTAAAATTATCACACCTCACCTTACCTCAAACTCCTCTCGGAGCCCCTCGGGGCTACTGTCAGTCCCAAGCCCGGATAAAGGAGGGTTGGGATTGGGGTTGGAGACCCTATCCCGTAGAAACCTAACTCGCTAAAAAACGCTAATCAGAAAAAATATACCCAAACCGTTTTAACTCTGCCCTAGAAGTTAGAAGGTCTTCTTTCAGAAGAGTTATGAAGTCTCATGATAAAAGCCGAGTCCCTTCGGAATTCACGAGGCCGATACCCCTTCTGACAACCAGAGCAACCATTCTTTACAACCTAGATGTGCTTAGGATCAGTGAAACTCATTGGACGTAGGTTGGATAACTGAGACTAGCTTCTGGAGAACTGATGTTATACTCCGGCCATAAAGGAGAAAATGCCTCACACACATGGAGTCACACTGATACCATCCATACAAGCACAAAAGGCACTGATAGAATGCGAGTCTCATGGACCCAGGATCATCAAAGCATCCTTCAAAAGAAAGTAAGAGGGCATTACAATGAACGTCATCCAATGTTATGCACCTACCAACGACTACAATGACGACGTTAAAAATCAATTCTACGAAAGGCTGCGGTCAGTCGTCGACAGATGCTCACCAAAAGATTTGACCATCCTGATGGGAGACGTAAATGCCGAGGTTGGCATTGACAACACTGGATATGAAGACATCATGGGACGACATGGACTGGGAGAAAGGAACGAAAACGGTGAGAGATTTGCAAACCTATTTGCCTTCAACAAACTGGTCATCGGTGGCACAATATTCCCACACAAACGCATACACAAAGCCACATGGATTTCGCCGTATCATACTACTGAGAACCAAATCGACCATATATGTATCAATAAAACGTCCAGAAGGACGATGGGGGACGTGAGGACCAACAGAGGAACTGAGATAGCCTCAGATCATCACTTTCTAGTCGCCGAAACGAAACTAAAATTCAAGAAACACTGGACAGCGTTGCTAACGATATCACAAGAGTTTGATACAGCTTTTCTTCGGGATAATGACAAACTCAACGAATTCAAGATAGTCCTCAGCAATAGATTCCGACTTTTCACGGTCTACTCAATGGAAAGGAAACTACCATGGAAAACTATTGGAAAGGGATCAAGGAGGCAATCACTTCAACATGTCAGAAGGTTCTGGGCCACAAGAAGTACCATCACAAGGAAAGGGTCCCTAATAGTACTCTTCAGAAAATTCAGGAAATGGGGAACAAAAGGCGGCAATCAACATCACCCGATGCACAAGCTGCATACACAGAAGCAGACAAGCAAGTGAAGAGGACCATCAAAGCCGACAAACGTAAATATGTGGAAGACCTAACAATGACGGCGCAAAAGGCTGCAAGAGAAGGAAACATGAGAAAATTGTACGGTATACTAAAAAAGCGCGCTGGAAGCTATCGCAAACCAGAACAATCAGTGACAATCAAGAAAGGCAGAGTAATCAGAAACATTGAGGCACAGAGAAACAGATCAGTAGAGCACTTTACAGAAATCTTGAATCGACTAGTCCCACTGAACCCATCCAACATCAAAGCAGCATTCACCGATCACCCAATCAATGTTGGCCCGCCAACAATTGGAGAGATCAGAATGGCCATCAGACAAATCAAGGGTGGCAAAGCATTGGGACCAGACAGCATTCCAGAAGAGTCAGTTGAAGCAGACATGGCAACGACTGCCAAAATATTCTACATTCTCTTCAAAATCATTTGGGAGAAATAACAAGTACTAATAGACTGGAAATAAGATACCTGAAGCAAATTTCAGAGAAAGGTGATCTCAACAAGTGTGAGAACTACATTATCATCACTCCTCTCTCAGTACCAGGCAAAGTCTTCAGCAGGGGGTTGTTGCATTGATAGTCGTCTCAAGTTCCGTGACAGTTCCACCATTCCAGAACCTCACGTCCCTCGAGCAAAAGCACAATCACGTAGGACTGTAGCATCTCGCTGCAAGGGAGCACATTTCAAACCACGCCAAAAGGCGGGTACAGAATCGAGCTGTTGTCTTTGCTGGTTTCACCGTGCCTTCGGGTCCGGTCCCTGTCGTTGTCAAGCTCCCTGCTCATACAAGGCGGGAAACTCCCATACCGGCTAGTAAACGCTACCATACCATCAAATTGTAGTGGTACGGGTCGAGGTTGATTATAAACACCACTATAAAGCAACTACGTTCTGGTCTTAACGCGTTGTCCAGTCGTGAACCAAAAACAGGGAAGAAGAAATAGTCCAGATTGAGGAGTATATTTGCTGACGTTTTCGTGGTATCGAAAGAATTCCGAAATCGTTCCACTGAATATGGCTGAATATACACGGAGAGCCAAAAGCAAGACGGCAATCAAATAACAGGAAAGCACATGTACAGAAGTACGAATCAATAAGCAGTTCAGTAAAACAACTACTGGTACAATTGGTTATAATAATGAATGTTTATATTCGAGCAATCGCAATTTCTTCATAAAAGTGGAGTCACTACAATCTTTATGAACACTATTAAGAACAGATTATAAACGAAAGCTAAGTTTCAGCCGTGTATAAAGATATTAATTTGCGTAGATTTAATGCAAACTTCATTTCAATAGTATTGATATTTTTGAACGGGCTCACACAATATAAAAGGAGTACTCTGATCAAATCATAGGGATAAATATAGCAGTCATAACTAACCAACTGGTAAACTTAAACTTTTAAAATATCCAAAACCATTTAAGTGACTTCCAATCGGTTAGTGACAACTTTTTATACTGTAAAACTTGCTAACCATAATTAAATAAGATATGACTAATTAATTTAATGTCTATTAATTGAGTAGATAGATTGTGGTTTTATTTAAAAACTTTTCCACTATGTAAGATGAGCAGAGTTTGTCAAAAAACTTACAAATCTTTTTGAGTAATTAACTAGTAGCTATCTACTAAAGTTGTTTTTTAAATTTGCCTTCTCCGTAGTTTATTCATGCAGAAATCCATGGATTTAACCCTAGAATATATGCAGTTGATATTCGCCTTATTAGAACGTGTCTCAACTTCTGTATTGAATAGTATAGAATCTGTTGATTTAGGTCCAGATTTTGCTATTGCTTGGATTATCACTTGGTTTGCACATGTTCTACCTAATATGGATGATGTTAGACGCCTGTTCGATTTATTTTTGGCAACAGATCCAATCATGTTGGTTTATGTTTCAGTTGCTGTGAGTTCTTATTTCGAAAAATTCCATTAAATCAGTAATATAATGGATATTAGAAAATGAATGATATAACAGTGATTTGTTTTTCTCTGTAATTTTCTTTTTAGATTATATTCAATGCAGCTACATTATATTGCCTTGTGATCTTTAGCTGAAATTAATTATGGGTTTATAAAATTTTTTTTTGAGCAATGACTATGTTTAATGATTTTCACTGGTGTCTAGGTGTAACGTTTTCATGTATCTTTATTATAGATGCATAATCTGTGCGTAAATTGTCTAACATTTATAGACTACATTTCCAGTGTATACGGACGAAATGGTTATGTCTAATGAACACCTGAACGCTATTCAGTTTTCTGAAAACTTTTTTGAAAAATTTCGAGCTATTCAGTAATATTGGTGTTGTAAACTTTAGTGCTAAAATTGTTTTTACGCTTGTTCACACTATTTTATGTAACGTACAGAGTAAATTGTGTAACAGTTTTGAACATTTTAACTGTCCAGGGGGATAAATCAGTTACATTAAGGTGGTGTTCGTCATGATTTAATGTACACAAACTCGTCATTCCGAAGTTTGTCGATATTCACTGTTATGACGCACAGCGTCTGATGCTAATACTGGTGTAGTGTATACTCACAACGTTGATTATGAATAGTATGCAGTGGGTATGCAGCGGAGTGTCGCCCTGAAGTTACAACTGAAGAGAAGTGTCGGATCCAACTGTATAATGCGACCAGAGTGTTTCAAAGAATAGACATGTGGAAGGAGACAACCAAGAATACGCTTGTTTTGCAAATGGGTATTGATAGATAAAATGTACACGTTTTGGTCAATAAATTATGTCTTCAAATAAATCGCTTGTTTCATCTGGCCTTACCGTCTTCTCTCCTTACTCTGGCACATAATGCAAGCCCCGAACCGGCTACTGAGTGAGAAGATTGACTAACAAATATGACTTCCTTTATTTGTTTTGGTTTCCACTTAGAGTAACTGCTTTTAGTTGTGTAAAGTATTGTCTAGCTTTATTCTGGTCATGAATAGGGATCCTAACACAACCGGATCTAGTATGTGTATAGCGTGTTCACCGAGTATCCAATGCAGTGATAGCATAAACTGGATCATCAGTCCTATTATCGTAGTATGGTAGTGTATCGTGAAACGAGGGAAATATCTCCATTTATCCGTTATATAATATCAACATTGAAATTCAGGTACATACGGCTGATGAGTCTGAAATACAACGAAACTTTCGTACCTTACTCCACTGCTAGTCACATACCGAAAATACTGAAAGATTTCATGCTGTCTAGGTTTTGTTTTATATGCTTCCAGTGATTATCTTTTTTCTGTTCCTTAAAAGCAGCTATTTAGTTACTATTTATTCCTTTTTAAAACTAAAAATATTCTCCTTTTCGCAGATAATTACTATCAGTGCTAAAGAAGTGGAATCAACACCGTTGGATTTCGCTCTTTTGTATCAAACACTTGCACGTCTACCTAAACTACATCCCGTTGAAGAGCTTATCCATGAGGCTTTAAACATCTACATTGATTTAGGACCAAAAGAATTAATTGGATTAGGCAATAAACGTATTCTAAAATATCGTGAACAAAAATTATTAGACCGATCACCAATAATAAGTCGACCATTTCCAAAGTCTACAAGTAAACACAAGTTATGGGGATTAATCATGCAACATCGAAGGACTGTTTTCTCTCTTAGTTTTATCGTCATTGTTATTAGTTATTTACTAAATAAAAGTCTGAAAAACTAGAAAAGATACTGTTTTTAATTGCGTAATACAAATGATTATTTCCTCAGCTATTTTGTCTATACTTTATTCGACTTATTTAGAAATTTTTCTACTAATGTATTTGTTGAAAATGTGTTCCATATGAGCGGTTGGATAGATGGTGTTTATAATTCTTATTTATTTCACAAATCTCTTCCTTTCTTTTTTTCCCTGTCTTATTGTCCTTTTCTTTGGGAAAACTTATGATCATGATGATAATTTCATTATTTATTTTTGTGATAAATAAATTCATGGAAGAGAAATGTTTGTTCTGATATAATCAAAGACGTACTTTGTTTCAATTAATTTATTTGTTTATTTTGTATATTAAACGAATGTAATGTATGGTTAAGTTTAAAACTGATGTCTCTTAAAGTTGGTTTTCTGTAAAGTATATGCTTGTCGTTGTGATACAAGAATATATCGAACAAATTTAACATGGATTCGGTTTTGCTTATTTGTATATTCCACAATCAATTAAAATTCCCTTATCTATTCATATGAATAGGAAATGTGGGGATATCCTTAAGTTAGAAAAATTAAAAAGTAGCAATACTTTTAAAGACTAAAACATATGTGATATCAGTTTAGCAGGAATTTTTCTCTTTCTTGTCATAACGTAAATAATTTCTGTGCAATTCACTTTTGAAAAGTATGTACCCGCTTATTGTTCTCTGTTCTAGTCATCCAACTCTAAATTTCACTTTTACTGCATTTAAAGTAAAACTTAAAAATGTATGGTGTAATTCGAAGATAACTCACTTCAGCATCACTTTTTGTATATCATAAAATAAATTAAGATGCTCTTGTATCCCGTTCAGTTTATGGCTAGTCCCTTATGTCTACAGTTTGTTCATACATTTTTTTCTAAAAGTACATATAGGGGGCAGGAGTGGCTCCATCACGATGTTACGTCAGTTCACGGAGTCATTGACTTGTCCCAAGTCATATTTATGAATTCTGATTATTTGATTCAGATCAATAGTTAAAAACTAAGTTAGTGCTCATAATTAGTCATAGTAATGCAGTTTCGTTATTTTGTCACACTTATTCATTCTTTTCAAATCACATATTTTTCATCTTTCCCATTATGATGATAGACCTATTACTTCGACTCCTTTGGTATTCATCCCGTAAATATTATCTCATGCTAATCCAGTATGAGGATTTTAGCTAATGTATATTTGCATCATATCTTGCCTTATTTGTAACTGTGATATAAGGTGTGACCCCACTCATCCAAATCATATCTTTCTATTCTATTATTAAAAGTAATATTCTAACTTTATTTAGTTAATTGTTATTATTCTTTGAAGTAATTAACAATTTATTTCTTCTCCTAGATTTATCAGATTACCCAATAAAACTTAGTATTTTACTTTATATAACAATGAAATCAATTCGTATTTCGTCGTTCATCATGCTGACCAAATTATATTTACTATTGTTATTCGCTTTGGTGGATTCGGATAAAAATATAGTTTTGACCAATAGTCCAACTGATTTTTATCAACAATTAAATGCTTGGCCAGATTTTCAGTTAGCTGCATTCACTGATTTAAATGCTGATCGTCGAATGGATATTATATTTGCCAATGCTGATGGTTCAAAATTATTTGCTGTCCTACAACCTGATAGTAAAGGTTTCCAATCCACTTCATCAATACTATCTAGTGTGAATTTCTCTCCACCTGTTGAAATAATTGGCAGTGGTTTGTCTAAACCTATCCGTGGTGTTGCTACTGCTGATTTCAATGGGGATTCTCGGATTGATCTTTTATTGATCACCCGTAGTTCAGATGTAGAACCGTTTGATGCTTATATAGCTTATGGCTTAAGTGGTCAATATCGTGGGAAATTCTGTAAGTCACAAGTAGTATGTATTCTGCGTATGACATCATATTTTTTCATGGATTTCAATTTCTACATCGATCTCGGAGTTATATTCTCTTTGTTGAGACATGAAGAAATAAAAATTTGCACCAATCGGCTCTGAGTCGTGTTTGTGGAGACTTCGGTTGATTATTCAGTCCAACTATTCAGATTGATGGCTTTAAACTCTGACCCTTGAAAGAAGGAATTCATGGGTTACTGGTAATCAGACTTTGTTTTCTACGCGTTTTTTGGCTTTGATGGGAAGACTGAGGGAGTAGTTCTAGAACTAGATACTGGGTCCAAGGTAAAGATGACAACTCAGCATGATTCTCAGCTAACTAACTCGATGGAGACTCATCATCAACTATGTCCAGCCGTTTGCTGTGGTATAACTAGACTGTAGTTACTGCTCAACGTTCTTATGGCAGTTGTTTGTAACATCTTTAACGGAAAAAGGCCTTTTTGCTGCAAGATTGACTATGTGAGAGTTAGTTTCACACTCATAGTTATTATTGTATGTTGAATATACATGTATGATAGCAATATCTAGTTTACTGTTTTCGTTTCCTATATTAGGCCTCAAAGGGCTTGGGTAGAGCTGTAGCGTAACTTTACTATTAGGTCACACGTTCCAATCTCGCTCCGTATGCTTTATTTTAGGCATCCAGTGGCATCAGTAGCCCTCATACAAGTAGTGTATCTCAAAGCAAAGTACGTAAATCTTTACTCCATAGGTGAGTTGTATCAAAGTGTTCGAACAACACCCATTTCTCGAACTCATTTTTTCCATTAGCATATTTCCTGTTTTCCTAATTATATCAGATAGTTAAGTAGAATAATATGAGCTTATTGTAATTGGACTGTGGTAGGTAAGGAATTTCACTTGTTCTCCTAGTTTGAGTTAAAACTTGAAATACGTGGCAATTTACAACTACATTCTTTCTTCTCTTTCTTGAAGTAACTTTACAATGTTTGATACTGACATTATTTTTGGTGTTCTTATTTTTCCTTTCTTTTCTTAATTTTCTCCAAATGTTAAGATTCGCCAAAATTGCTGGGTCATTTTACTTCTCAACCATTAGTATGCGATTTAAATTCTGATATGATAGCTGATATATACGGTGAAGTACCAGGAGGTAACCGAGTAGCACATTTAGGCGGGTATGTTTGTTTCTTGATTTTTTATTAGTTTGTTCATTCTATGTAATCAAAGCTTGATTTTAACAGTTGTATTTGTTACGAATTCTCTTTGAATATATTTAGGTTAGGCTTAAATGAGTTTCTATGTCTACTGTTCCACGTTGAAAACGAAATCTTGAAGTATTGTAGTATGTTTAGCATGAATATGATAAATATCCATAAAAGTTATCGTTTCATCAGTTCGATACTGATATAAAGTAGATTTTAGAAAGTTTGACTTATCATCATCCTAGTTTATCTTATTATTAAAATGTAAATGGCGGTATACGAAAATAATTTAATGTACTTGCTTAATCATGTGCTCGATTTCTCCACACTTGTATTTAATTATAGGTTCAAACTCTACTGTGTATCCGGTTAGAATTTTATCGTGCACTTTGTGAGATAAAAAATGAATAACACATTTGAAAACAAATGATTTAGTAAGAACTTATACAACACAGTTATAATCTGATAATGTGATAAGGTTACTAGAAAATCAATTTGAGATCCGCCAATGTGTCTAATGATCAAGCTGACTAACCAGAGACATTACAGTTTCACATTAAATTTCTGCATTAGCACGTAAAAATGCTTCGAATAATTTGAGTTTCTGTGTCAACAAAACGAATATTGCAAAGGTTGCAGTTGGTTTTCCACAATTATTATTAACCATGGTTTTGCTGTATAGTTGCTGAGTAACTAGATTAATTTACAATTGATAGATCCCGACCATAGCTGCTACCTTGACCGTGGTGGTCACGCTTGCCTATCGTGATGACCCAACCTAGTTATATTGGCTGCAACATTTGTTCCTGAAGGTTCTATCATGCCAGGCAGGTCGATTGGAGAACGATGAGACTAAAAGCAGCTACTCAAGGTCTGAGGGTGAGGTCGTACTGCTGACTGCAAATGGGTGTGACAGCAGTAAGGTGTTTCTCTCGGACAACCAGCATCTGCTGCCTTCTCACGAGGAACGAAGGGTTAGAAAAGGTCGACCCTAAAAATATCACACTTCACCCTACCTGACGGATTTCCGTCTCCGGCGATATGGGCTGCCCAATAAGGGCTTTTAAAAAGGGCAGAGCTAATATTCTAAAAACCTTTCTTCAAAAGGCGTGCGTGACCGGCCTCAAGTAGTTGTCTCTCGGACTCTGCAGTCACGCTCCCAGATCTTTAAGACCAACACTAATCTATCTTCCTTTACAGGTCCCTCAAGAAACACCCTTCCACGGTGTGGGCAAACGGGATGTGACAAACGCTTTCATACCCGTAACAGCACGCGAGACCAAATTGGTCACAATCAAATCTTTCCTACACCCCCTAATATCTCTCTCATCTCCACCAATTACCCTTCTCACGTTCCTTCATCATCCCGCACTGCTGATGCAATCGATTCGATCTCACGAAACATTCTTCTTGGTCCCCTGAAACCTCGCTCTAAACTACATGTTAGAACTTTTAATGTCTGAAAATTGTGTCAAATAAAGCAACAGGCTTCCTTAGCTAGGACTCTGGGATCTCGCGCCATCGATGTATGCTGTATCTCTGAAACGTGCACACAGGATCCTAGTAAAATCATTAATTTGGTTTCACCAACTTGGTTTACGTTCCGTGTATTTCGGAGCCCTGCTGCTTCCCGTGGCCTCGCTGGTGTAGGTATAGCATTGAGTCATAGGGCAGAACTAGGTCTCCTAGTCTGGATCCCAGTAGGTAGTCGCTTATGCGCTGCCCGACTAAAGAGGACAGTAAGGACTCGGAGGAATAGGGACACTCTCCGTCGCCTGTTTGTTGTCTCTACCTACGCTCCCACTGACTGCAGTTCTGACGAGGTGGAAGATGGGTTTTGCAGAAAGCTTTCAGACCTCCTCCAAGACGTTCAGCGCTCTGATGTAGTAATAATGGCTGGTGACTTCAATGCTCAAGTATTTAGACTAAGTGAAAAGGAAAGATACCAGGGTGGATCTTATGGTGTCGCGACAGATCGAACAGACAATGGCGACCGCCTACTGCAGCTATGCCCAGACAATCGCCTGTTTCTAGCAAATACTAACTTTAAGCACAAGGTAAAACAACTTTTGACCTGGCGACCCCCAAAGCCAACCCAACTAGATCACATCGCGATAAGTCATTGGTGGAAGGGCTCTTTTGAAGACTGCCGCTCATTCTGGAGCATTAGTTTAAATTCAGACAATGCTCTAGTGCGAGCGCGTATCTGTTTGAGGCTTACTGGACATAGGAAAGACATCGCAAGAAAACCTCTTAGGGTTCTACTTAATGGTAAAAAAGCTAAGAATATATTTCAGGAGCAACTAGAAAAACAGCTAGGCAGCGATGTAAGTAATGCCCACTTTGAGGCAGTTTGCAATTGTATCCAAAAGGCTTTCGAAACAGCAGTGATATCTGCTAGTAAAGTAAGCCATAAGGTTAGAGAGAATCCATGGATTTCAGTAGCGTCTACCGAACTGATAGACGCCCGAAAACTCATCCCACCTGGCTCTGAACATGATGAAGAGCGGAGTCAGCTTAGGCGAAGGCTGATAACAAGGTTATGCAATGATCGCGAACAGTGGTGGGTAGCGAAAGCAAGAGCGATGGAAATGGCAACGGCGATAGGCAACAGTAGACAACTGTTCTGCCTAATCAAGGAAACTAGCATTCGAATCCAACTGTTAGCGAAACTATCTCGGAAAAGGATGGTCTTATTATTCATTCTCAATCCAGGAGATTGGATCAATGGGCAGAGAATTTTAGGGATCAGTTCAACTGGCATTCAGCCACACTTCGGTTGCCCACGATCTCCAGTCATCCTGAATGGCAAATTGACTTAAGTCCTCCTAGTCTTTACGAAGTTGAAAAAGCTATAGGTAATCTGAAGCGAGGGAGAGCAGCAGGATAAAAGGATAAAAGTTTTGTGACAATCACAGCGGAATCAGTTTAACTAATATGATGTTTAAAATGTTAGCCTCGATAATACGTAGAGACCTAACTGGAACTCGTGAAGAGCAGACTCTAGAAAACCTGGCTTGTTTTTGATCTGGACGTTGGAGTCTCATCAATGCTGATGGCCTGGTGAGCGACGAAATCTCAGCACGGATACAGAAGCCTCATTTGGCTTTTTCCAAATTACGTCGCTGATGGCGTCGGTATGATATCCGTTTGTTACCCAAATGATGAGTGTACTGCTCAGCTATTCGCTGCTTCCTACTATACGGATGCGAAAGATTGCTGGGGAGAGTAGAGGACATTCGTAGATTGCCTTTTCCCGATCATAGGTGTCTCCGAATCGTATATCCTGGGACAAGCGAGTGAGCAATGCTATAGGGATGGCAAATTAATAGATGAATTATTGGATTTCACCAGTTGAGTTGGTTGGGTGGTTACGTATGCCTAACCGCCGACTGACTCTAAGAGCGACGGTTTTTGGTGTAGGACTAGGTTGGAGGAAAGCCGTGGGCGGCCAAACCAAAACATGGGACAAATCCATGAAATCACTGTCAAGTGGACTGAGTCATGTTGGTACATGTTGGCTACCTGGTTGGGCTCCGTGAGACGGAAGTTACCAATGGTTAGAGGCCTTAAACGACTAGGCTCAGAATCGTTTGCAATTGCGCAAGGGAATCCACTCTTTGTGTTCTTACAGGTCCTAACCTTCTGAATTCTTCATGACGTTTACCTTTTTCCTTTAAGTTTATTTCACCAGATTCTGCTTCTTGAATAATATCTTGGAACCCCACTCTCCCCGATTACTGCTTATACGTCTTCTATGTCTAACACTATGTGATTTGAACTGACAGTTGCGTCTCTTTGCTAATGCTGTTTGGCAGCCTGAATTGATATATTTACGTTTGAATTTCTGCATTTTATCTGTCAAGTTAACAGAACATCCTAAACCTCAATATCGTGCCATTTGACCCGTGTCAACTGAGCGTACCTGCAATCTTGAGGGAACTGATGCTTTCCAGTGGGTTCGATTTTGTGTCACTCAAATTCACAGTCAGAGACGTTACCGCTTAGCTATTTGGGTAGTGACTGATCTTATGTATGATTGTCTTCAAGATTTAACTGTTGATAATTCAATCTAATTAGTAATCAATTACACACCCTACTAAAAATTTCTAAAAGAGCTATCATGAAAGTAATTAGCGTTCATTATGTTTTCTGATCATTCATCTTGTTACGATAAAAGGAGCTTTAATACTCTGAAGTTCGAATCTCATTGAATGTATTCTAGTCTGACCCATTTTGTAAAATTTTGTGTAGTAATTTTCGCAGCAGTCTAATTCAGTACGAATATGAAAGTACTATTAATAGTAATGGCTTTATTTAATATTATGTCTTTATGACAATATGGAATTGTCCTTTGGAGTAACTGAGAGTTGAGTGAAGTCAGTAAAAACATTGTATATGGTCTCAGAGATATTGTTAGGATTGCCATCGTGTATCCCTTGCTTGTAATACTCCTATTCAAAGACTTACATGTTTTATAACCTCAGAATAGTCAGTCACTCGACAGAAGCATAATTGCTATAGTTACATCTGTTTCATCTTTGGTGTATGTTATTGTTTTAATTCAATATCTAAGCCTAATATCTTAAGAGGAAAACGAAATTCCAGTTTGACAAGCTTAATTTATAAACAAAACGACATAGATAAATGAACTTCAAAATTTACTCATTTCTGGTCATTTATGCTTGGGCTTCACACACCTATAATTATTGATACATGTAGATTCTTAAAATTTCACCCATTCATATTCAATTACTAAAAAATGTTATAGAAATGTACTTACGAATTTATCTGGTACCTTTTCTGGTCCTTCATGGTCTCGACTTGGTTATTCAGCTTTCGGGGATATCAACGGAGATGGTGTTCCTGGTAAGTTAGGTACTTAGTTTATGACTGGCTTTAGTATATATGACTTCGTTTCAGTAACTTATTGTTAAATCTATCGAAGTGCCCAACAACATTATTGAGATACGTGTGAAATCGAAGTTCATTAAAAGCGATTTGTCTAAAGAACGGTTCTTTTATTAATGTATGATCATGAACTGGATAAAAACCTCAACTCCTGATGTGTCTAGGGCGATTAATGCATCTGAATGTTAGTAAAGAAAAAGGGTTCCTATAACAGTACAATAAGAAAGAATTGCTACGGACCATAGCGTAAATGATAGATGATAGTGGTGTTTGATGTTAACAACAATTTATCAACATTCGAATAGGAACCGAAAACAAACAAACAAAGAACTTTTTGGGTCTGAACAAAAATTCGGGGAACATTTAAGACAGAGAATAACAATTACAAGAGTTGTAAACCGGTAACTATAATCATGAATACAATAGGCGCCATTAATTTATGTAAATATTTTAGCTTATCACACAACAATATAATTACCGTTACATCATACACTTACAAATTATCAAAAATTGTGTACTGAATGTAAATAAGTAGTGTAATCTTAAGTGCAAGAAACGAGATAAGTGGGAGGAGAATAAGGACAACAAACCTTACTTACTTACTTTCGCCTGTTACCCCCAATGGAGCATAGGCCGCCCACCAGTTTTCTCCAACCAACTCTGTCCTGGGCTTCTTCCTCCAGTTCTGTCCAATGTTTGTTCATTCCTCTCATATCTTTCTCTATTTCACGGCGTAATGTATTCTTTGGCCTTCCTCTTTTCCTTTTGCCTTGAGGGTTCCATGTGAGGGCTTGTCTCGTGACGCAGTTAGGTGCTTTTCGTAGAGTGTGTCCTATCCACTTCCACCGCTTCTTCCTGATTTCCTCTTCCACTGGAATCTGACTTGTTCTCTCCCACAGTTCGTTGTTGCTGATGGTGTCTGGCCAACGAATACGAAGTATTTTGCGTAGACAACTGTTCATAAACTTGTATCTTCTAGATGATGGCTTTGGTAGTTCTCCAAGTTTCCGCTCCATACATTAGAACTGTCTTGACATTTGTATTGAAAATCCTTATTTTGGTGTTGATTGATATCTGTTTGGAGTTCCAGATATTTTTCAACTTTAGAAATGCAGGCCTTGCTTTGCCAATCCGTGCCCTCACATCTGCATCGGATCCACCTTGATTGTCGATGATGCTGCCCAGATATGTAAAGGTGTTAACGTCCTCCAAGGCATCTCCATCAAGAGTGATTTGATTGGTGCATGTTGTGTTGCATCGGAGAATTTTGCTCTTTCCTTTATGTATGTTGAGACCTACTGCTGCAGAGGCTGCTGCTACACTCGTCGTCTTCTCTTGCATTTGTTGTTGAGTGTGCGATAGAAGAGCCAGATCATCTGCGAAATCCAGATCGTCAAGCTGCGTCCTAACTGTCCATTTGATACCGTGCTTCCCTCCAGCTGTTGACGTTTTCATAATCCAGTCGATGACCAGGAGAAAGAGAAAGGGTGAGAGTAAGCAACCTTGCCTCACACCGGTCTTTACCTCGAAAGAGTCTGTTAGCTGTCCTCCGTGCACGATTTTGCAGTTGAATCCATCATAAGAGTTCCGTATGATGTTAACTATTTTCTCAGGCACACCGTAGTGTCGAAGAAGCCTCCACAGCGTTTTCCTATCCACGCTATCGAATGCCTTCTCGTAGTCGATGAAGTTGATGTAGAGTGGTGAGTTCCATTCAATTGATTGCTCCACAATGATCCGTAATGTAGCAATTTGGTCAGTACACGATCGATCCTTACGAAATCCGGCCTGTTGATCTCGAAGTTGGGCGTCTACGAAGTCCTTCATCCTGTTTAACAATACTCTGTTGAAGACTTTGCCTGGTATTGAAAGAAGAGTTATGCCTCTGTAGTTCTCACACTTGCTCAGGTCGCCTTTCTTTGGTATTTTGATCAGGTATCCTTCTTTCCAATCTGATGGTACTTGTTCCTCATCCCAAATCTTCTTGAAGAGGATGTGAAATATTTTCGCAGTTGCTTCCACATTTGCTTTCATTGCCTCTGCTGGAATGTTGTTTGGTCCTGCTGCTTTGCCGTTCTTGATTTGTCTGATGGCCATACTGATCTCCTCAATCGTAGGTGCGCCAATATTAATTGGGAGGTCCGTGGATGCTGCTTCGATGTTGGGTGTCTTCAGAGGAGCTGGTCGATTTAGGAGTTCCTTAAAGTGCTCTACCCACCTATTTCGCTGTTGTTCAGTGTTGCTGATTACTTTGCCTTCCTTGTTTTTCACTGGTCGTTCTGGTTTACGATAGTTCCCGGCGAGCTTCTTTGTAGTTTCATACAATTGTCTCAAGTTTCCGTCTCTTGCAGCCTTTTCCGCCGTCGTTGCTAGATCTTCCACATATTTTCGTTTGTCAGCTCTGATGCTCTTCTTCACTTCCCTGTTTGCTTCTGTGTATGCAGCTTGTGCGGTAACTTTCTCCGCTCTTGTTCGGCTGACATTGATTGCTGCCTTCTTGTTCCTCCTTTCTTGAATTTTTGCAAGAGTATCAACAGAGATCCATTCCTTATGATGGTACTTCTTGTGACCCAGGACTTCGTGAAATGTTGAAGTGATTGCCTCCTTGATCCCTTTCCAATTGTTCTCCAATGTTGTGTCCTCTCCATTGTGTAGATCCTGTAAGGCCTGGAACCTATTGGTGAGGGCTATCTTGAATTCGTTGAGCTTTACAGTATCCCGAAGAAAGGCCGTATAAAACTTGTGTGATGTTGTCTGCCCTGTTGTCCAGTGCTTCTTTAGTTTCAATTTCATTTTGGCGATTAGCAAATGGTGATCTGAGGCTACATCAGCTCCTCTCCTGGTTCTCACATCCTCCATAGTCCTTCTGAACGTTTTGTTGATACAGATATGATCAATCTGGTTTTGAGTAGTGTGATCCGGTGAAATCCATGTAGCTTTGTGAATGCGTTTGTGCAGGAATATTGTGCCACCGATGACCAGTTCGTTGAAGGCACATAGGTTTGCAAATCTCTCACCGTTTTCGTTTCTTTCTCCCAGTCCATGTCGTCCCATGATGCCTTCATATCCAGTGTTGTCCATGCCAACCTTCGCATTCAGGTCTCCCATAAGAATCGTCAAATCCTTTGGTGAGCATTTCTCGACGATTGACTGCAGCCTTTCGTAGAATTGATCTTTGTCGTCGTCATTGTAGTCGTTGGTAGGTGCATAACATTGGATGACGTTCATTGTAATGTCCTGTTTCTTTGTTTTGAAGGATGCTTTAATGATCCTGGGTCCATGAGATTCCCATCCTATTAGTGCCTTTTGTGCATGTTTGGACAGCATCAATGCAACTCCTTGTGTATGTGAAGCATTTTCCTCTTCATGACCAGAGTATAACAGCAGTTCCCCTGAAGCTAGTCTCAGTTGTCCTACTTGTGTCCAATGTGTTTCACTGATTCCAAGCACCTCGAGGTTGTATCTTCTCATTTCTGCCGCAACTTGAAATAGTCTTCCAGTCTCCCACAATGTACGAACGTTCCATGTACCTAAAAAAATGGTTGGTCTGGTTGTCAGAAGAGGCATCAGCCCCGTGACTTCCGAGGGAACTCGGCTTTCATCACGCGACGTCATAATTCTTCTTCCAACTCCCAGGGCAGAGTTAAAATGGTTTGAATTATTTTTTCTGGTTAGCGTTTTTTTGGCAAGTTAGTTTTTGACGGAATGGGGTCGCCAACCCCATGTCCAACCCTCCTCCTTTACCCGGGCTTGGGACCGGCAGTAGCCCCGAAGGTTCTACTGGCGGAGGACAACAAACCTAAAAGAACATAATATTAATTTTTTTCTGTTTTACACTTTTCTATAGAAATTTTTTATATTCGGGTTACAATAAACTCTGTGAATAGATTTTGTTTTTATAAAAGTTGAAATGTAATTACAGATATTGCTGTAATTTCACTTCGAATTTCTCTTTTAAACAATTATTTATACATTGTAAGTGCACAATTGTTTTAGATTCTTTTTAATCACTATGTATTGTAATGGGTTAGTGAATAAAACCATTCAACTCTCAACCATTAGGTCTCAAGTTCAAACCCGCTATTTCATTTACTTCAGTTTGAACAGGTGAGCTGTTTCATTTAGCATTTACCCAAAATTTGTTGCTGGAAACCGATTACATACACTTCTACGCTTAGCAAACAAGATGTATAATCTTCATTTGGGTCATCTTACAACATATTTCACGTAGAAACTAAAATCATCTTCCTATTTTTGCTGTACTTATGTTTAAACATGTTTGCATAATAAAGTCACGATTATTACTGGATACAATCCTAGCATTTTTTAAATAAGTTTTACTTTTATTAAATTAACTAATTGATTGTATTGTCTGTATTTAGTTCCTCTCCTTTTTGATAATCTTATTGATTAAATGTCTATATCTAGTGAAATCATTCTCTTTTGTATCAGCTTTAACGTGATCAACATTTCAACTTTTCTCAAATGTTGAACATGTTAAGACTGATACAAAAGACAATGTAGTTGAGCGCGTTAACCGGCTCACTTATGTCGGAAGTCTCCTTAGTGTTTATGGCCTGGTGTCTGACGAAAGTTTAGCACGGATACAGTAGGCTTGAATAGCTTTTTCCAACTTGCATCATTTATGGCTAGGCGAGACATCTGTCTATTAACTAAAGGACGGGTTTACCACACAATAGTTTGCTCTACTTTATGCCCGTGAAACATGGCAAGAAGAGTAGACGATAGTTGTAGGCTATTAGTATTCAATCATCGGTGTCTTTGAAACATTGCATGTATATCCTGAGACAACCGAGTAAGTGATGCTGGTGTTAGGAAATTAGTGCTACGTAAGGATGACAAATCAATAGATAAAGTGATGAATCTCCATCAGTTTAGGTGGTTCTGACATGTGTTATGAATACCCAACCACCGACTCACGACGAGCTATGTTTTGTGGTGTAGGAGTAGGTCGAAAGGAAGAAAGGGTCGACCAGAACAACGCATGGCACAAATCCATGAAGTCACTGACAAGTGAACTGAGCCATGTTGGTCTGTGTAGACTACCTAGTTGGAGTAACCGATGGTTAGTCTTTGAATGACGTGTCTCGAAATCATTTACGATGGCGCAGATGCATCCATTCTTTCTCTTCTCTCAAATTCTAATCACTTGAATTGGTCACTGTTGTGTTTCTCTTTTTACATTAACTTCACTGAATTCTACTTCCTGAAACATATATTCGAAGCCTGGTTTTTTCTATTACAGCTAGTACTTTTACTACATCTCCCACTGTGGGATTTGAATTGATAGCCGCATATATGTGCTAATGTGGTATGGCAACTTGAAGTTTTGTACGTGCTTACGAAGTTCTACGTTGTTGAATGTTTCTACACTATTAATTCAATAAAATTCTCACTGAAACACGACAAGTAATTCCCTATGGAAAGCCAGTAGAATAATACCTGTGATTCACTTCTATCAATAAATAATGTTGCTGAAGTACAGAGCAGATACACTATATTATTATACTCCCATATATAAAATGGGTTGATTATCTTCAATATTTATTATGATGCAAACTTAAATGGTCTCCTTGAGTAGTTAGTATTGGTATATTAATGATGAACATTTTTATTTTAAACAATAATTCGTTTAGCCATACGAAAATAGTTCATTGTCAAAGTAATAAGTTGTTAAAATTATACTTTGATATTTTACTGAACTTCACTATTCTCATAATCACACTTTAATTGCACTAAATTAACGTTAATTTTTACATAATATTTTCGTGTTCTATATTAACTAAGCGTAATTACTATGGGTAGTTGTCAATTAAATTGACGGTTGTATGTATTCATATATTTAGTTTTTTCATGATTGATATTTATGTAGATATTGTTATCCTTGTGGATCATGCGAATAGACAACAATTACAAGTGATACGTCGTACTCAATCATCGATAGGTTCTTTGCCTGATGTAACTAATGCTGAATTAGTGGATCTGGATCCTAAATTACTAAGTACGCCACAAAATGTTTTGGGATTATTCGTGTTGAATGATTTCGGTAAGTAATTAGTGTTTTTAATTTTTAAAAAAGTTAGAAACCTAAATGTATATTGTAAGTATAATGTAAAACTCTATCCATAAATAAACAGTGTTTAATAGCATTTTCAGTTGCTTTCTGCTATGTAATAAAGGCTTCAGTGATAAAATTATGACTTGTCACATAAAAAATTCCTTTTTTCATAGCTGTTCAGTTTGATAAATCCGCCTTAAGTTTGCAGAAGTTTTTTTCAACGCAATAAAAAAAGACTATGGTTTGTTTTGGTAATATCTAAATAAGCAAAAGTCTGTATTTCTGGAATTTCGTGACTTAATACAAGTCGCTTTTTCAGAATAAATAAATAAACGTAATAAAAATTACATTATTTAAACTTACGAATCTTATCGTTATTTCGTTTTTCTATTATGTTAGACTATGATGGTTCAATTGATTTACTTCTACCTGTATGCAGGGACACTACATGTTTGGAAACCAGTAGTATAAACATGTATTCTTTCAAAAGTGAAAAGGTTAGCTTTGATTTCTGTGTTATATCTTATAGTTTTAACTCTGTATTTTATCACGACAAATTTTATTCATGCTTTCATGGTTGAATGTTTTCTTATTCTATTTATCAGTGTAATATACTGAAACATTTGGACAGTAGCCCCGTAAACAAATTATCAATTCAATGATGATTTTTGTCAACGAGTCATTTGATCTGTATTTAACTAACTCGTATTGAAATAAAATTTAATTATTTCATCATGAAATATGTCATTAAAAATTTCTAAGTTCCATGAACTTTTATCTCAATGCATAAAATTATAGAGGTGGTTTAGCTGAATGCTTAATCGAATCTATATAGTGTACCAAGTCCTTTTTTTTAATTATATTAGGGATCTCTTGGTAATTTATCACTGACATGGCTCATTTACCAGGTCAGGATTAGATCGGTTTTGCTCTATGATTATCGAACGGGGCTCTTCCAAGATAAAAATATATGATGACTGTGTTCGGTGGCTTGAACATGCTTCATGAATGTCACCCTAGCAACTTCCACATAACTCGTTTTCCGACGTTAGGACTGAATGGAAGAAAATATTGTATGAACTGGTACAAAATAGAACACTTTCATGTGCCATTGTAATCTTATTTATTATGTAGTATATGGTCATATATCATTAAGTAATCTTGACATTTTATCCATATGCACTTGCTACATAAATGTGATTGTCTATGTCTATTTGTCTACTTGCATTACTTAAGCTGAGACAAAATTAAATAAATGAGTTGGTGCATGTTGTGTCCAGTAACTTGCACGATTGTTTGCTGTTGCTTCAATGCATAATATACTATCTACCAGCTAAATTTCACATTTGGCTAACCAAAGTATTATATACGAAACTGAATATATGGTACATCTCTTCATCGATCGGAGTTATAATAGAAGGGACAGGTCTATTGCGACTTCCTTGTTGGTGTCCCAGAGATTATACAAGTTACTGCCTGTGGATATTTTTTTTTAGTCTTATAATGTACTCTTGATAAAAATAAAACCAATTTTTACCACTAAACAAAATTTCATAGTTGTTTTAAAAATTATTTATTAAAAAACTATTCTATTCATTTATCAGTTAATACTTCAGCCTTTTTTCTATCCTACGATGCAAGAACTGAGAACAATATGTTTCAGTTCAAATTATTATTAATTATCAGTAGTCTCCTCATGATAAGCAGAAGTTCATTAGACCATATCCTGTTTTTTCATCATTAATTATGTGAAGTATTTATTCATTGAAAAATCATAACACTTCTGCTACTAGTCATTGTCATAACGAATATTTACGGAACTTTAGTTTCTATACATAGCTTCAAATTATAGTCTTAAATGACAAAGTTAGTGATCAATTCCTAATCTTCTAAATTCCTCGTGACCGTTTTTTCTCTCTTTTAACTTGTTCCTCTTGGGGTGTATATGTCAAATGGTATTTTCAATTATTAATCTTTTCGATTACTGCTAATACTTCTACTGCCTCTAATACTACCACGGGGTTTGAATAGACACTTGCATCTCTGTGCTAATGTGGCATGGCGACGTGAACTGATGTACGTACTTACGAAGTTCTACGTTGTAACTGACTGACCTTTTTTGCATCGATGAAGTATATTTGCCTAAAATAAGTATTTCTTCATACGTAAAATAACTTATTTCTTTTCAAATATCCCTCAGTTTCATTTTATGAACCGATTACTTTCTGTTCTTCTTACATTTCTATGTTTTAGTGGTTGCCTGTCAATGTAATCTGGGAGCCTTCAAATGTTAAAGAAAATGAAATGAGATGGTCTCTAACTTCCACTCCACTGATAAAATCTAGTTTATTGACGACTAGTTTGTTAATTGGTCCAACAGTCGGTGATGTCAATATGGATGGCAAACCTGATTTAGGTTTAGGCGTTACAAGTTGGTCAACGAGTGGTCAAAATATGGGTGTTTATCCTGGAGTGTTTGTTAATAAGGGATTAAATCTTAATGGAGTTCTCACTTTTCAACTAACTCTACTCCCGGGTGTTCAGTTGCCACCAGACAATACTAGACTACGTCAGTTAGCGTTTTTCGATCAATCTGATGATGTAAGAATTTTTCCTATGATTAGTACATGCCGTTTGGTTTCATCGTATACTTTGGTAAATTGTATCGCATCAGATGAAGTGAAAAAACAAATAGGACATAATTTCGGCAGAGTGATACATGGCAAATATTTATTTGATAATTAACGTGAAAAAAGATCCACTTTATTGACAACCTATTATCGTTCAAGTTGTCGCTCGAAATTTTCGTTTGATAAGAATTAAACGATTAGGAAATAATGATTGAAGCAGAAATGACAAATTTTATTTTATGTCTTTAGATTCTTATCAGGCTTTTTGTGTTCTGGTATCCGGTTCAGCCACAATACACACTTCGTACAGTAAACCGAACCGACTATGCAAATATGAAGAAAGGTTTAGCCACCAAACAAAAGTATAATTTAACGATAGGTGTATAAGAGTACTTACGATTGCGCTTCTGGTACTGAGACAAGAACATATGCGACTTTAGGTTTGTACATAATCAACTTCTTCAAACAGCATACTTCGGTTTTAGTTTTTCACCTACGATTCTATTTTCAGATGGTATGTGATGACGGCCTTCCATAGCTGTTGGCATTCTGTATTATTTTTATGCTAAAGTTAAAAGTAATTGCTAAAATTAAATCACCTTGATACATAGCGCCAATATACTACCCTAGTGATACTACTGCTCAGGCGTCCAAACGGAAGTAGGTCAAGCTATCTTCAAACGTACGACCTAGTAATTAGATGTCACGTTCTAATCAATAGACCATCGTTCTACTAAGGTAAGTTAAATATTTTATTTTTATGAAAATGACATAATCTGGGCATTCGTCAATATAATTGTCCTCTTGGTATTTGTTTGAAGCTCGTATTTTTGGTTTTCCTCACGGCATAGTTTTTAAGAAAATTCAATTTTATGTATGAAAACTATATTTATATTGTATATACCGTGTTACAGTGTATTTCGTTTTTATTACTTGCAGAGTATTTTGGATCTCTTCATGGTTTCCCTGAATTCTGATGGTCGACCCTCAGCTCAGTTATTCTTAAGTACTGTAGATACTGATCCATACTTCTTAAAGGTAGTCTTTGGATTATTTTTTTTGGTTATATATATATATATATATATATATATATATATATATATATACATATATATATATATATGTATATATATTACATAATTTCGCCTGTTACCCCCAATGGAGCATAGGCGGCCCACCAGTTTTCTCCAACCAACTCTGTCCTGGGCTTCCCTCTCCAGTTCTGTCCAATGTTTGTTCATTCCTCTCATATCTTTCTCTATTTCTCGGCGTAGTGTGTTCTTTGGCTTTCCTCTTTTCCTTTTGCCCTGAGGGTTCCAAGTGAGGGCTTGTCTTGTGACGTAGTTAGGTGCTTTTCGTAATGTGTGTCCTATGCACTTCCACCGCTTCTTCCTGATTTCCTCCTCCACTGGAATCTGGTTTGTTCTCTCACACGGTAGGTTGTTGCTGATGTTGTCTGGCCAACGAATACGAAGTATTTTGCGTAGACAACTGTTCATAAACTTGTATCTTCTAGATGATGGCTTTGGTAGTTCTCCAAGTTTCCGCTCCATACAGTAGAACTGTCTTGACATTTGTATTGAAAATCCTGATTTTCGTTTTGGTTGAAAGTTGTTTGGAGTTCCAGATATTTTTCAACTGTAGAAATGCAGGCCTTGCTTTGCCAATCCGCGTCCTCACATCTGCATCGGATCCACCTTGATTGTCGATGATGCTGCCCAGATATGTAAAGGTGTTGACGTTCTCCAAGGCATCTCCATCAAGAGTGATTTGATTGGTGCATGTTGTGTTGCATCGGATAATTTTGCTTTTTCCTTTATGTATGTTGAGACCTGCAGCTGCTGCAGAGGCTGCTGCTACACTGGTCGTCTTCTCTTGCATTTGTTGTTGAGTGTGCGATAGAAGAGCCAGATCATCTGCGAAATCCAGATCGTCCAGCTGCGTCCTAACTGTCCAGTTGATACCGTGCTTCACTCCAGATGTTGACGTCTTCATAATCCAGTCGATGACCAGGAGAAAGAGAAAGGGTGAGAGTAAGCAACCTTGCCTGACACCGGTCTTCACCTCAAAAGAGTCTGTTAATTGTCCTCCGTGTACAATTTTGCAGTTGAATCCATCATAAGAGTCCCGTATGATGTTAACTATTTTCTCAGGTACCCCGTAGCGTCGAAGAAGCCTCCACAGTGTTTTCCTATCCACGCTATCGAATGCCTTCTCGTAGTCGATGAAGTTGATGTAGAGTGGTGAGTTCCATTCAATTGATTGCTCCACAATGATCCGTAATGTAGCAATTTGGTCAGTACACGATCGATCCTTACGAAATCCGGCCTGTTGATCTCGAAGTTGGGCGTCTACGAAGTCCTTCATTCTGTTCAACAATACGCTGTCGAAGACTTTGCCTGGTATTGAGAGAAGAGTGATGCCTCTGTAGTTCTCACACTTGCTGAGATCGCCTTTCTTTGGTATTTTGATCAGGTATCCTTCCTTCCAGTCTGATGGTACTTGTTCCTCATCCCAAATCTTCTTGAAGAGGATGTGAAATATTTTCGCAGTTGCTTCCACATTTGCTTTCATTGCCTCTGCTGGAATGTTGTCTGGTCCTGCTGCTTTGCCGCTCTTGATTTGTCTGATGGCCATACTGATCTCCTCAATTGTAGGTGTGCCAATATTAATCGAGAGGTCCGTGGATGCTGCTTCGATGTTGGGTGTGTTCAGTGGAGCTGGTCGATTCAATAGTTCCTTAAAGTGCTCTACTCACCTATTTCGCTGTTGTTCAGTGTTGCTGATTACTTTGCCTTCCTTGCTTTTCACTGGTCGTTCTGATTAACGATAGTTTCCGGCCAGCTTCTTTGTTGTTTTGTACAATTGTCTCAAGTTTCTGTCTCTTGCAGCCTTTTCCGCCGTCATTGCTAGATCTTCCACATATTTTCGTTTGTCAGCCCTGATGCTCTTCTTCACTTCCCTGTTTGCTTCTGTGTATGCAGCTTGTGCGGTAACTTTCTCCGCTCTTGTTCGGCTGACATTGATTGCTGCCTTCTTGTTCCTCCTTTCTTGAATTTTTGCAAGAGTATCAACAGAGATCCATTCCTTATGATGGTACTTCTTGTGACCCAGGACTTCGTGAAATGTTGAAGTGATTGCCTCCTTGATCCCTTTCCAATTGTTCTCCAATGTTGCTTCCTCTCCATTGAGTATATCGTGCAAGGCCTGGTACCTATTGGAGAGGGCTATCTTGAATTCGTTGAGTTTTACAGTATCCCGAAGAAAGGCCGTATAAAACTTGTGTGATGTTGTCTGCCCTGTTGTCCAGTGCTTCTTTAGTTTCAATTTCATTTTGGCGATTAGCAAATGGTGATCTGAGGCTATATCAGCTCCTCTCCTGGTTCTCACATCCTCCATAGTCCTTCTGAACGTTTTGTTGATACAGATATGATCAATCTGGTTTTGAGTAGTGTGATCCGGTGAAATCCATGTAGCTTTGTGAATGCGTTTGTGCAGGAATATTGTGCCACCGATGACCAGTTCGTTGAAGGCACATAGGTTTGCAAATCTCTCACCGTTTTCGTTCCTTTCTCCCAGTCCATGTCGTCCCATGATGTCTTCATATCCAGTGTTGTCCATGCCAACCTTGGCATTCAGGTCTCCCATAAGAATCGTCAAATCCTTTGGTGAGCATTTCTCGACGATTGACTGCAGCCTTTCGTAGAATTGATCTTTAACGTCGTCAATGTAGTTGTTTGTAGGTGCATAGCATTGGATGACGTTGATTGTAATGCCCTCTTACTTTCTCTTGAAGGATGCTTTATGATCCCATCCTAGATCAACAAGTTGCATCCGGTGCTTCCCCTCTGATGTTGACATCTTCATAATCCAGTCGACCACCAGCAGTTTAATCCATTATAAGAATTGTGTCTGATGTTGACCATATTCTCAAGCACGTTATAGTGTTGAAGAAGCCTCCACAGTGTCATCCTATCCATACTGTAGAAAGTTTCAGACAGAGAAAGAAACTAATAATGTAAAAGCTCTTCAATTATAATATGTGTATTTCTGTATTAGGAATAAATCATTCGCATTGAATTGTATGAACGGTGACTTATTTTATCTTAATAAATTGTAATTTCTTTCATTAAAGAATTAAAAACCACTGCACTCATGTCTCATCTGTTTTGATAGTTTGGTGGCTGATAAAGCTGCTTCCTGGTCACAAAATAAACTCGCTTGAATTTCGGAAACTTGCTTCACGTATGTAGTATAGGCAAGTTGTTCACCTATTTATCACTTGGAGAATGCATTGTTTAATAGTTTACTCTGTGTCAATTCATATCTCAAATATTACCTTAGAAAGTTCCTACAGTGACTATAAAGATGGTCGCATAATTAGTCATTAGAATATAGATCACCTAAATAAATAATTTATGTCTTGTATATGAACATAATAAATTTATCAAGGTTATCGATAGGTTCTACTGTTTTAAAATCAAGTAAGTTCAGTATAAATATTCATCTATATAACTCCAGATCATTGTTCCTTGAAGACTTTAAATGAACAAAGATAATTTTCAGGTCGTGATCATATAATCTTTACATTATTAGTGTTTGTACTTGTTAAAGTATTGACCAAATGATGCTGTTTATACCCCGTTTATCAGTTCTTTCTGTTCTGCAATCATATAAAATAGTTTCCCATTTATTTATACATTGCCTTATAAATACTTAGTTATTACATCTTTATTGGATTATGTCAAATGATGGTCCATGTTAACGTTGTTCTTTCTTATATGTCTCATGACCTTAAATTCGCCATCCTCAATGTGATCAGTTCTTTACTAAGGCATAATTTCACTTGAAAATCTTTTTTAATGAACATTTATTATTATTCATTTTCCATTACAAGGTGGTTGTTCTTAACGGACTTTGTCCATCCGCTGATTCATGTTCAGATGGTAGACTACCTTATGGTCTTATGGTACCTGGTATAAGTTCAAATCTTAACACAGAAGCTGCTTCTGGAGGTCGTCATCTTTCTGCTGCACTTTTAAGTTCTCAAAGTTGTTGTAGTGCTCTTCAGGTGCCTTTTGAGATATTTGGTTTAGGACAATTTGCCAATTATGTTGAAAGATTGACAATTTCGATACCACCATCAAAAACAGTAAGTTGTTTATTCTCAAAGGATTTTTTCCGAGATTTCAGCCATCTTTCAAGTTAGTGTATACATATTTACAAACAATCATGTTACAAGTGAAAGAGTAATTTTACAATATGAAAAAAGTGCATGTACGTTGTCTTAAAATGAATTTTACACTGTTGGCAATAAATAAATAGAAAATTAACAATGTTAGTCAATTTTTCATCTTTAATCCGAAAGTGACTGCTTATTTAAAGCTGAGACTATTATTTGTTTATTTGATAATTTTCGTATTGAAATTATTTTCTTGATGTTTAAGTCTTATTGTTAAATAAAAGTATTTTTAGAAAATAAGCTATATTAGTTTTAGACAGTTAATACAAGGGACTTTCGATTACTTCATCGTAGCCTCAACTCCTGTTTCACTTAGTTTCATCTGAATATTAGAAAAGTACTTACAGCAATTACATAAAAATTTGGCTCAAGACAGAGTACTCTAAGGGTAAGCAAAATCCATTAAAAAATGTAATGGACCAATTCCTCCAAACTAAATGACAAGAAATAATGTTGATCGTGAAAGTCCAGTCAAGTTTCATACTTTTTTTTATAATAGTTGGGATCGGTCTTAGTTAAATAACTATTAACAAGCAGGAAGCTTGATTTTTAAACCACTGATCTGATATTTAGTAGTTTAAATACTTAGCTTAAACCGATTCTGGATATTGCGCAATCATCCATTTTTGTCTAGAAATTGAAAGGAGGATATATATATGTGTACACTTGATAGTAATTACTCCTTTTTTGCACTAAAATAAATTAGCATCAAAAATTTTCAGTTGTAGAAATTCGAGTCTTCGCGTTGTCGGTGTTCAGGTTCGCAATTGGTCTGTTTCTTTTGACGTGTGTGGACTTTAAGCAAATCGCCTCGATATTGCCTTCGGCTGTGAACATTTTTAAGTAGAGATAGGTGGTGACTAGTAGTGGAATCCAAAGAGATGGGTTAAATTGTGCTTACAATTTAGTCGGTCATACACAACACAAACCCTATCCGTATGTGTATCGGTTCAAGTTTTCACACCATATTAGCACATAGAGATGCCAAAATAGTATCAGTAGTAACAGTGTTGGTGGTAGTAAGAGGATTAGCAATTGAATTCAGGATTCAAGAAGAAAGTATGCATAATCCAAAAAAAATGGAATCTAAGGAATGACGAAGAGTGAATGCACCTACGTCATGGAAAACGTATCGCTTAACAAGAACATTTTTATTGTCATTCATAAAACTATTCATACCATTGATTGTGGTGTAACTCATCTTCTTCACTGGTGTTAGAAATGTGTAATATTTTGTTTTAAATATGATCGACTGTTTCAATGTCAAATATTCTTCACAAAATCTTATCTCATTTCCACACTGGTTATATGTATAAGTACTTACATTTTGTTGTTGTTAATCCATTCAATAATTTGAAAGCATATTTTTACACTTAATGTGAGTATATACTATTGATAAATAATTTAACTTTGTGATTACATTCGTTTGATTGACTGAAACACTTATTTATTATTCAAATATTATGGTTATAATAAATATTCATTCTATCATACTTTTTATTTCAGCAAATTCGGTCACGTTTACTATCGTTTATTGTCCCAAAAGCTCAAATTGTTATTAATCCGTATCCACTGGATAATCCCTCCGCGTAAGTTGTTTTCATTCTTTATTTCGGTAAATAATTTCAATTTTAATGCTGTACAATTGTTGTAAATATGTGTATATATTGTTATGTTTCATAATGGTAATTGATAATATGTTTATTTTCATTATACGGTTATGAAGATTGTTGAGTTACTTTGAAATTATGAACTGATCACCATTAGAAACCTGAAAGCATTGTATGGTATGGTACTCATCAACTGTGCGTATCCACGACTCCCCCTACTAACAGGAATCAAACCCAGAACCTTCGGTCTTGCGCACAAGCGCCTAACCTGTTGACCACTGAACCGGCATCCAACTCTGTTGAGTCTCATGTCGGAACGGAACAGCCGTCCGGTGCTTCGGGTTTCCAATGCTGGTCTAACATCGATCGATTCATGATTTAAATGTTTGTTAGTAAAAGTCATTCAATGAACATTGGTAGTGACCGAGAGAGAAGCAAAATGAAAACCACTATACTAATTTTATTCTTATGAAGAGATTGAAAATGTATTTATTAAAAAAGATTGCCAATATACATGAAGAACAATGAATTGAATTGTGTGAAATGTAACCAAAGAAAAAACTAGAGGAAATAAGTCGACTAATGGCGCGAGTTGTAAAAAGATGAGGAAACAGTAAAAGAGAGAAAGAGGCATGGATATGAGAAACTGAAGGTTACAACTATTGTTGAAAAGTGGTTGAATAAGTGTTTTTTTAAACTAGTTTTGTTTGCCTAAATGTGACACCGAAGCTTCAGCAATTTGAATGTCTACGACACTATGTAAAGAACCATTAAAAATTTCGAAATACTGAACAAGTTATTTCGTTGATGTTAGCAACTTTTGAAGTTGTAAATATTAAACTAGATGAAATTCTGCATCGGTGATTTAAGAAAAAAAGTATATCATTCCTGTCATGAAACATGGTGAATTATGATATAATGGACCAATCAGAAACGGCCAAATTAGAGGGCCATTTGATAAACTTTAGAAATGTCTAGCGCATACCGCGTTCATATCTCGGAAACTGCGTATCATAATAAATTTTGCACTGTTAAGTTGTTCTAAACTATATTAAAATATTTATTCATTTAATGCACTCCACTGGTTTCCAATAGTTTTCTAGCTAATATACTTTCTATTGTAAATTTTTTGATGACCAAACAATGCAGAGTACAATCATTCAATTGCAATATATACTCCAATTGACTGATAGCACCTGAGAAAATTTATCTCCATTACAATACTAGAAATAACAGTCAATCGAACTTAGATTATTATTTTTTTAAATATATATATATATAGAACCATGATATGTGAATAATCCAATGTTTTCACAACAATTAATATATTAAATAAAGGTTCATCACTAAAATAACATTAAGTCTATTACTCATTGGTTATTAGATAAATTCATTTGAAATGTCAATATTTTTCTTTTTAACCTAATCACTGTCATCATAATACATGTTTACTTTATTCTATTGTCTATTCTACTCTATTTTTAGATGGACCATGAAATTGTTTCTTCAACCACTATATAATATGAAAGTATTATATATAGCCATAACATTATTATGTATTTGTATTCTTCTCTCAATTATTATCGGTATTCTTCAATGGTTTGAATTTCGTGAAGATCGTTTTGAAAAACAAAGAGAATCTCAACGTTTTCATTTTGATGCAATGTGAACAGCAAAATATTGAAAAGATACCATGCGTACATATGCATGTGTGTATCCGAACGAAAAGACACAGTGAATCAATGCTAACAGTACTATTAATAAAATACACTTTGAAGGTGTATAACAAAACAGCTGTGATGCATGTATATCGATTTTAATTTTTTTTCTGTTTGCTCATTGGTCTTTCTTTTTTTTCCCAAGCATATCTGTCATTAAAATGTTAAGATTTTTGTTATGTGTTTTATCATTCTGTTTACACAAATCTGCATATGTCTACATGATACGACAGTATGTGTATTTTTTGAATTCTTAAAATTAAATTAACTAATAACTAAATTAATTTGATAATCGACTTGTTTTTTAATTATATAAATGAAATGTTCAATTCACAATAACAACTTTTACAGATTGTTTAAATATAATTTACTTTTTAGTATGTTTTCAATACTGATGAATTCTTATACATTCTTATAGGTGTTTTCACTTTACCGAGGATTTAATTTCCATTTTCTAAAGAATTTATTTGGAAAAGTAGCCTTTATACGCTCGTTGGAAAGTAGTATTCTTGTTCCTTGGTAACTGCATGTTCTTAGTTTTTTATGGGCATGGGGTTGTACTTGTTTTCGCCGTGGCTTTCACCTTGAAGTAATCATTGGGCTCATCCGAGCTATATTGGCATGGGCGCATGTTCCCTTAGGTTTTAGCATGCGAGGCAGGTCGGTCGGAGAACAGTAAAACAAAAAAGAACAACTTAATTTCCTAAGAACGAAGTAGTATTGCTGACAGCACCATACCGTAATAGCAATCGATGAAAGTCGTCCAATTGTTAGTGGAGATGAAAAGATTGTAGGTAATCGAAGCCGAATGAAAGCAATAACTTCTGTAGTTTTTAAGGATGGTGGTCCAGTTTTAGCAGTTAGCTTAACCAAAGTCTTAGCTAGAATCCGGGAACTGAATGCGCTCCTATCTGACAGGTCTCGATTGCTGATCGTCCCAGTCTATAAGATAGAACGAAATTTATCATGTGACAATCACAGAGAAATCAGTTTAACTAACATAATGTGTAAAGTGTTAGCTCCGATAGTACTTTGACATCTGACTAGAGTATGTGAAGAGCAGACTCGAGAAAACTAGGGTAATTTCAGACCAGAACGTGGATGTATAGTCCGAATATTTACACTTCGTCAGGTTCTGGAATATAAACATGCACTATGACGTTGTTGGTCTTGGCCTCGGGGTGACGCTCAAGGTGTACCAAAGAAGTACATTAACCTTGTACAGACTCTAACCGAATACTAATAGTCGAGTGAGAACTTATGGCAAAAGGTCATCGGAAATAATTACTACAAATGATGTTCGTCCAGATTGTCCGATCCCTTCATTGAGACTAGTAGCACGAAAGAAGGCACATCAATAAACATGTACTATGCAAGACCACAACGCACAAGGATTTAGAAGAATACAGTTATGTTCAAAATAGCCGTTTCACGTAGAGAAATAGATTAATGGGGTTAAGTTTAAGTTACAATAATTTTGGAATGAACCAATATGACAATAAATCAAATAAATGCATAAGATTTGCAAAATATGATAGGAACAAAAATAGATGCTTGTAAATATAAACTACTACTTAACGATTCCCATTACGTATACACACCAGCAATCTTTTTGTGCAACCACAAAACTTAACAACTGGCAATAAGTTCTAAGATAGTTGTTAATCCTATTATTGATTCTAACTGCACAGTTGAGATACATTTGGAGCCAAAATTTAGCAAACAACGATGCATTATCTTACGTAAATGCTATACTTATACATAGATTAATTACAAATTTCAAGTCGTAAAGTATCCTCAGCGAGTAACCCGTCTAGAAAGAGGAAAACTTCCTACAATAATAAGAAAAAATTTTTAAAACATACAATAGAGTAAATGACAGCTGTCAAATGTGAACTACAATTTATCAACAACAAAATTTGAAATTAAGAGCACGCAAAAATCGAAAATTTTGCGTTTAAAGAAATATCCAAGTAATGTACAAAACTGAAAATTAGTGGTACAGAGGTTGAGAGATAGCAATAACAATAAATGAAATAATAAACTGTGGTCCATAACAATGACGAATACAAAGCACTAATCAGCTTCATTCTGTCTACTCTACATATAAATAAATACAATAAGGTCATACACGATAACAGTCCATAAATCAGTCCTGGAAGTTATCACTCCTCTAAGCTTCTTCCTGATATAAGAAACTGTCATTAGTCTTTAGTGGTGACAGAGTAGAGATTGACTATGATCACCACTAAATACTAATTACTATTCCGTCACCAATTTCAGAAATAATTCCAGGGTAAAGAATATATTTAAAGGAGAAAGCTGACGTTACAGAGAGCAGCAAGTTACGAAGGATGGCAGCAACGCGAAAAAGAACGTTGCGCACAATCAAGTGTTTTTAGTCCAGTTAGACAAAACGAGTACAATAGTAAATGTTTATTTTTCCCCAATCGCGTTCTCTTGGTTGAAGTGTTCCCCTACAAGTCTAGGTAAATACTTTAGTACTAACACACAACCCTAACGCTTAGATATGCAACTGTCTCGTGATTGACTACAAGAAGTATGAAGCAATACACGTAATCCAAATTGAATGAGAAGAGAATAAAAGCAGAGAATTTAAACCAACTTTAGTCTAATCAGCTTGAAACCTGTTATTTTTATGTATTTAGCATCAGTATCATATTACTTAGTGTATCCGATCATTGTTACTAAAGCAGTCTTTTGCTACCACACAGAGTTTTAACTGAACACAAATATTATAACGAAAGAGCGGACCATCTTTTCATTTGAAGTAGCTACTATTTTTTTGAAACACTTTAGTTGTAGAAATGTTGTCCTCGCTTTGCAGATCCGAGCCTTCATATCTGCATCATACCTACCTTGTTAATCGATTATGCTTCCCAGATGTTAGAGTTTCCGAAAATTCTGCAGGTATCAATAAGTTAGTGCATGTTGTGTTGTGTCGGAAGATCTTAAATTTTCCTTTGTGTATGTTGAGATCAACGGCTGCAGGGGCTTCTGCTACACTGGCCATCTTCCCTTACAATTTTTTGTTCTGTGTGGGTTAGAAGAGCCATATCATCTGAGAAGTCTAGATCAACCAGTTGCATCCCTTGGTTCCCCTCTGATGTTGACATCCACTAAGAGAAAGAGTGGGATTTCGCAACCTTTCCTGACACCTGTCTTCATTTGGAACGAGTGATATGTTTTCCATGCACAAATTTGCATTGTAGTCTGTTGTGAGAATTTCGTGTGATGTTGGTTATCTCCTCAAGCACGCCGGAGTGTAGAAAAGGCCTCCAGAGTGTAATCCTGTCCACGATATCAAGCGCATTCTCACAGTCAATGAAGTAGATGTAGTGGCGTACCCCATTCAATTGATGGTTCCACAATGATCCGCATTGGTATTTACTAAATAATAATATTTGAACAATACATTCCTGAAATGTTAATTTAAAGCTGGGGAAAAGCAAATAATCCCAACTAGACCACATCGCTATGAGTCATTGGTGGAAGGGCTCTTTTGAAGACTGCCGCTCATTCTGGAGCATTAGTTTAAATTCAGACCATGCTCTAGTGCGGGCGCGTATCTGTTTGAGGCTTACTGGACATAGGAAAGACATCGCAAGAAAACCTCTTAGGGTTCTACTTAATGGTAAAAAAGCTAAGAATATATTTCAGGAGCAACTAGAAAAACGGCTAGGCAGTGATGTAAGTAATGCCCACTTTGAGGCAGTTTGCAATTGTATCCAAAAGGCTTTCGAAACAGCAGTGATATCTGCTAGTAAAGTAAGCCATAAGGTTAGAGAGAATCCATGGATTTCAGTAGCGTCTACCGAACTGATAGACGCCCGAAAACTCATCCCACCTGGCTCTGAACATGATGAAGAGCGGAGTCAGCTTAGGCGAAGGCTGATAACAAGGTTATGCAATGATCGCGAACAGTGGTGGGTAGCGAAAGCAAGAGCGATGGAAATGGCAACGGCGATAGGCAACAGTAGACAACTGTTCTGCCTAATCAAGGAAACTAGCATTCGAATCCAACTGTTAGCGAAACTATCTCGGAAAAGGATGGTCTTATTATTCATTCTCAATCCAGGAGATTGGATCAATGGGCAGAGAATTTTAGGGATCAGTTCAACTGGCATTCAGCCACACTTCGGTTGCCCACGATCTCCAGTCATCCTGAATGGAAAATTGACTTAAGTCCTCCTAGTCTTTACGAAGTTGAAAAAGCTATAGGATATCTAAGGCGAGGGGCGGCAGCAGGACCTGATAGATTGACCCCTGGGAGATAACATTAACTTCGTCAGACTTCTCAGTAAAATACTGCTTCAGGACCAACCTTCGTCGGCACCTAAACTATTGATAGGGAGTGAGGATTTTAGGAGTCATCAGTCCTGATGGCCTGGTGACTGACCAAATCTCAGCACAGATACAGAAAGCTCGAGTAGCTTTCACCAACCTGCATCACTTATGGAGCAGGCGAGATATCCGTTTGCTAACCAAAGGACGAGTGTACTGCGCAGTAGTTCACTTGGTCCTACTATATGGCTGTGAAACATGGCCAGTAAGAGTAGAAGATATCCGTAGGTTACTGGTTTTCGATCATAGGTGTCTCCGAAGCATTGCTCGAGTATCGTGGGACAGCCGAGTAAGCAATGCTTTGTTAGGAAACGGCTATTAGGTAAGTATGGCAGGTCAATAGATGAAGTAATGAAACTTCATCAGTTGTGGTGGTTGGGACATGTGGTACAAATGGCCAACCGTCGACTGCCTCGACCAGCTATGTTTTGTGGTGTAGGAGTAGGCCGGAAGAAAGCTCGGGGCGGCCAAACCAAAACATGGTACAAATGCATGAAGTTACTGACAAGTGGACTGAGTCATGTTGGTAGGTGTCGACTACCTGGTTGGGGTCTGCGAGTTGATAGTAATGGATGGTTAGAGACCTTGGACGACATGGTTCAGAATCGTTTGCAATGGCGCAGGTGCATTCATTCTTTGTGTTCTCTCAAATCCTAAACTTTTCAACTCCTCATCACTTATTCTTTATAAGTTTATTTCACTATATTCTACTTCTTGAATGATATCTTTGAACCTCAATCTCTCCGATTACTGCTAATGTTTTCACTACATCTACTACTATGGGATTTGAGTTGACAATTAAATATCTGTGCTAATGTTGTGTGGCAAATACAGGTGATGTACGTTCGTACGAAGTTCCACGTTGTTTCTAATTAGTCAATAAAAGGATTGTTAATACAGATCAATGAATGAGTTACCGCAGTATGCTTTAAATGTTACACAGAATAAGTGTTAACAATATATTGTTGATGAGCATTATTGTCTCATACAATTCACTAATGGTAAACTAACGGTAATAAGTTTTGATGATCATTATTAAGATCCTAAACAACCATATTCAACTATTTTATGAAGATGTTATATTATATTAAGAATTAACTGAACCTGGACATTGAATAACATTTGTGCACTTTAATGTATTCATTTGATTATTCTCATTCGTTACGTTGAAAATTTTTAATGAATTAAGTGTAATCATCAATCAAATTATGTATTATTTCATGGTATTATTCAATGTTTCTTGTTGGCAAATTTGTTATCTTTTAATTAACTAAACTAATATTTTGATGAAATGTTTCTTTATTGTATATGAACATAATTTAATACGCCTACATTGTCCATTTATTATCAACGCATATTTTGTAACACACTCTAGAAAATAGTAATACGATTACTAATAGTAATGATGAAATTCTCTACTCCATTAACATCAACTGGTTCTCGTTCTTTTAGCCTCAGCATTTGAATTCAACTTAATAAAATACGTGCTACTTTTGAGACATACATCTCTAAATTCATTTGTATTAGGTGTCTGAATCTTCCAATTGATGTTTAGGACTGAAACTGATTTCTTTTTGGTATATGTGCATCCTGTGCAGATTGCCTCGATATTGCACGTACTGGACTCAACTGTTAGCCACAATCCACATCTGCTCATAATACATCCTTAGAGTACAAATTCTATTTTTAAATTTTTAAGTACCACCTTTAGCTTCTTGTTATGTGATCAAGCTCTCATAAACACTTTGACACACATTTACCTTAGGTTGAAGGACAGATATTATAACTTGAAATACATAATTTTATAGTACTTGAATTTAGGATTACTTAGTGATCGCATGAGTTTGGGCAATCAAAAAACCACAAGACTGGGAGTTCTTTAAATATAATTGATATAAAGAGGAATCGTTAAAAGTGTAACATTCTATCATGATGTAGCCTGGTAACTTATCCAGCCTGCTAAACAAGTGGTGATAAAAACTGGAACAGGGTGTCGCCACAATACTACTACACATAATAAGCATTTTTTTAAATGGCGAATTTCATGAATTTATAGCTGAAGAATCTTTGAAAAAGCAAGAATAGTTAAAATATTAATTAAACCGTACAGTTTGAGTGAGAATAGAAATTAATATCCCTATCAACTGAAAATAGATACCACCGATATATGGTGAAGATGAGAACATAATCAATGTGTCCAATTCTTGAGCGGTGATCTTTCAAGAATTTCACAATAAAGAACTTCTAAAAAGCAGCAATCTTTCACACCTCTAACAATAGTCTAGTATTTGGTTAGTAAAACTCTAGGTTACGAAAAGATTGAAAACAAATCTAAATTATTGGAAGACTTATGCTGAACTATACTTCATATGTACATATACTAATACGATTTACGATCATTTGAATTTCAACTAACAAATTCGTTTAAACGAATTTTGTTTTCAACTGGATGCAACAAAGTTAATTGTATCAAGGAATTGAAAATCTAATGTTTTTTAAACTACTTGGTACAACGTACGTAAACTCGAGGTAAATGTAGTTAGTAGATAAACAATTCATTAAGTGATTTACTAAGAGTTTGATCATCTCATGTTAAATACCACAAACAGATATTAATTACATGTACGTACATAGAGCTATTGGACTTTTTGAAGTCCTTTTTAAGCCAGCTAGATTATCCGACTATATTTGACTTGAGAATTCTATATTGCACTAAGTGTTTCAAAAAAAAATAGCAACTTCAAGCAAATTAAATACACAATTGATTGATTCAGAATGCGTTTATTATCGTTGTATTTTTTTGAAGTGAAGTACTTACATTAATCAAACGTAATTTTAGAAGAAGAAATTAGCATTAACTGTAAACGAAGAATAGTGAGAAAAAACATACATTTAAAGTGAAACAGATTAATAGAGGCATGAATGAAAGTTATGCATTTTATAGTATCACTGACTACTTTCTATTCATTTGACATTTTATAAGGCAGATTTACTGAAACTGACACGAATATGCATATTCTCTTCGATAGGATAATTATGCATTGCCTAGAAGAAAAGGAAGTAATAAAAAACATTTTCTTTTTTCACAATAAAAAACAATAGAAATTCGACGAACAAATAAAATGGACTCGATGAAAGAAGGCAAAATATCGTTAATTCTGTTTTGCAGCATAAAGTAAATAAGATTTTGACTAGGCAAGGTAATCTGACTAAATAGATTAGTAATTTTGATATCGCACAAAATAAAATGCTAATATAAATCACACACTACTACACAATATCATGCAACTAAGTATAAGTCTCATCATAGTTCCTTCAAAATAAAAACCATAAAAAAGTATACTCTAGTTTTGGCAATGCAACCATTTGATGATAAGATGCGTTTGCAGCGTGGCTGACAACAAACTACTAATAGTTTTTGGAAAACTGAATTTTGATTCACTTTAGAGTAGCAGTATCAACAGCTTTCATATAAAAGAAAATGGTGTATGGTATGTAGGTCCATACTACACAATATTCTTCATAAATACAAAATAGGATAACTAACCACATATTTTAAGTGAAGAATATGAAAGAGACTACTGGCAAACTTCCTATAATACTACAAACGGGTAAACGTAATTTGTGAGTTGAGAATGAACAACAACGAATTTAACTGAATTGAAATTACTTACAATTAATGCTGAAACTGCTTCTTCTAAATTTTTAAATTCGACTAAAGCCATTTTCTTTTCAGCTCTGATGAAAAAAATTGTATTGAATTTAAGATTAGACAAGACAGTTGTATTTTTAAAGTTTAGAGTATATAACGATTTTTATACAATATATTGTGGATCGGTAAATTGATTGCGTTTTTCAGTGCATTAAAAAAAAAACAATTGCAACGAACAAGATTTACAGTTTAATGAATGATTCACGAAACTATGACAATTACAATTTAAATGCAATTTTTCATTCACCTAAACCGGATAAACAGTTTGTAGTAGCACCAGATGTGTTTAATTGACCTACATAAATATGTATAGCGCACGAAAGGCCGAAATCATAGTAAAGTAATTATTATCATCATTTAACCGAATTAGAAGATCCTTATCAAAGAAAATAAAACCATAAATAACTTAACAATTACTAAGAATTGGCTTTGAGGTTAGTAATATTTCATGTGATCTACCTTCTTACTTGTATTTCTAAATTTTGTAGTTACTTTATTGATAAAGAAAATTTAAACCAACATTTAATTAGTGGGAAGTTGCAGTAAATCTTTGCTTTCTTTTTATACAATTGTCTGAATCAATCAATCAGTCATAAGCAATGTAGAATACTGTTCGTATATGCATCAGTTTAAGTCCCAATAATTTTTCAGCGCAGTGATATGAAATTATTTTCTCATACATAAAACAGTTTCGGGTAAAGCAGATCAATCTTTTCAATTTGTTTTTTGTTAACATTATAATGCTACTAAATACACAGCATACTGTTGAAGATTCACTAATTCATAGCACAGAGAATTAGAAAAAAACGAACAGAAATTTCATTGCATCTTACTTGAAAGATTTAATACGTGAAACTTGATAATTGGTACCATTTTCAAAAATACTTTTTAAATTGTCATCATCTATTGAGTCCGGTAAATTGGTGACATGTAGTACTTTGGATGGAGCGCATATATTGAAATGATTACGAGAGTTGGCACGTTTGAATCTATGCAATTTATGTCCCGTATAATCACATGTAGTTTTTATTTCATTTTCCCCGTCAGACATAAGATTTTGTATATTAGTGTGTGGCATATTAACGGTTGAATTTTTTGAAAGAACACAATGTATTATTTTGCCATACAATGGGATACCATTTAAAAAATTCACAGCTGAAAAAAAAATATAGACATAATTTATTAGTGGTCACTAGCTGATAAAGAACAAAGGAATTATAGAAATCGTTTATAAAAGCAAGACAGGATGAATACATCAGCACATTTTACATGTATGCAAACATCGAGTAGTTGCTAGTTAATACTATTATTTTACTTCATACCTTATTTTGAAAAACAGTCATCAGAATATGGGAAACTAAATTGTATACATATAAAATTCCACTCAATTAGGTGAGTGACTGAAATTCAAAGCATTTACTGTGTGTCGTGGAAGACCATCTGAAATTGTGTAATGAAGTAAAGCAGCTGTTCGTCTTTTAGTGGTTCATCAGATACAGAAACGACTCAGTGATAAAGGCCAGTCATTAGTAGCACATATGTGCATTGGTCTGAGTTGGCAACATTATCAAATCAGAATATAAGAGTAGATCGACTAATCATTTGAAAAAACTAATTAACAGGATGATACAAGTGAGTAATTTTATTAGAATACGCACACAAGTGAAAACCTCATGAATTTCTGTTACTAGGAGCTAATTGTTTTATAAAAGAACAAAAATGATTTTTTCCTTTAGTCGTTGAGTTAATGCATAATTTGAACTAAAATTTAAAACTATTCTTCAAAAAAGAACAAATTTTAAAATAAATATAGTGGGACTCGAATCTGAAAAACATATAGTTGGAAGTCGTATGGTTTAATCACTGACTTAAAGATTCATGATTTTTTGAATCAGTTTGGACATGCATAAAATATACTTTCTGATGTGGTATGGCAACCTGAACTGATGTACTTACGTACGAAGTTCTGCGTTGTATCTGTCTGTCTGAAATCTCAGCACAGATACAGAAAATTCGATTGGCTTCGGCCAATTTATGGCGTAGGCGAGATATCCGTTTGCTAACCAAAGGACGAGTGAACTGTGCAGCAGTTCGCTCCGTCCTCCTATATGGATGCGAAACATGGCCAGTAAGAGTAGGAGATATCCGTAGGTTACTGGTTTTCGATCAGAGGTGTCTCCGAAGCATTGCTCGAGCATCGTGGGACAGCCAAGTAAGCAATGCTGTTGTTAGAAAGCGAGTAATAGGTAAGGAGCCAGATCAATTGATGAAGTATTGAAACCTTATCAGTTGTGGTGGTTGCGATATATGTTACGAATGCCTAACCACCGACTGGTTCGACGAGTTGTTTTGTGTTGTAGGAGTAGGTTGGAAGAAATTAAGGGGTGACCAGACCAAAACATGGCAGAAATGCATGAAGTCACTAATAAGTGGACTGAGTCATGTTGGTAGATGTAGGCTACCTGGTTGGGGTCCGCGAGACGAAAGTCACTGATGGTTAGAGAACTTGAATGACATGGCTCAAAATCGTTTGCAATGGTGCAGGTGCATCCACTCTTTGTCTTTCTAAACTTATCTCTCATTGAATTATATTTCTTGAATATTATCTTAAAATCCGAATCTTCTGCATTAGCAGTGATTCTTCTACTATCTCTACCACTATGGTATTTAAATTGACAATTGAGTCTCTGTGCTAATGTGGTATGACAACATGAACTGATGTACTTACGCACAAAGTTCTACGTTGTAACTGACTGACTGAATCTCTTCATATAATGATCGAGATCACATTTTAATACGATACTATTCTTATTAACTTTAAGAAATATACAAAAATCTAACATATCGGGATTTGTTCTGTTACATCAAGAAATTCTTCTTGTGACTGAAACTAATATAATCTTCAGTCAGTCAGTCAGTCAGATGCAACGTAGAACTTTGTACGTAAGTACATCAGTTCATGTTGCCATATCACATCAGCATACCACATCGCTTCTCGGCTCTCTGAGCTAAGATCATGTGTAATATAATCTTCGGTGGCTATCGGCCGGATAGTGTAATCTTTGCCTCCACCCCTCATCATCCTCCCAAAAAATCAATAATAAACAGCAATAAATAAAAATAAATAACCTCGAAGTGCTTGAATAGCATCAGTGAATTGAACCAGAGCGGTGCTTCTTTTGTTATGAAGAATTTTTACGCGTTGCACATCTCCATAAACACCTTGACAGAATGCGAAGTGATGCACACAAAAATGAAAAATGTATAAAACATAAAAATGGTATTTCAATAAATGGGAGAAAGGAAAACAAAACAAAATAAACACAATTTGATAATCTGTATAAATATGCTAAGAAAACATTTTAAAGAATCAATCTTTTTTCTATCAAGCAAACATATATCTTAATACTGTAACAAATAAAAAAGTAACGGCCAACAGTAAAACCTATCATGGTTAAACTTCTTAGTGAAATATCACATCTACACGTACAGAAACAAGTTGATCAGTGTTGTTGTACCAAACATGGTAACCATTGAAGTTTCTATACAAACTATTCTTTCAGTTGGTTTAATGGAATTCTTTTCTCACTTCACAGACCAAATTATCTAACACAACAGACTTAAATGATTATTTTATAGCTATGATACTATTAATTGTAGCTGTTAGTCGACTTTACAGTTAGATTACGAATTATGACCGAAACAATACCTTATTCGATTAAAAAAGGTGACCCTAAGTAAGGTTAATACAAGCATAAGCACATAGATATATGGAGGCAGGATAATCTTACCAAAAAGTATGAACAATGTATCCGGATTGACTTTCTTTTGCAGGATGATGATAATAATGATAGATGATATAGAGATGCACCATGGACAACAGATGGAGAGAAATATTTTGTAGGATAGCCATAGAGGATCATATATAAAGTGAGATATATACATATATATATATACATAAAGATATTGGAGGAGAGAAAGAGAGACAAAGACAGATAGACAACAGTTGTTTTATATGTATATTTTTAAACAGAGAGTAAGCTAGTGCAAGCAAGGGAAAGTTACATGATGTAGAGAGCAATGCATTTGTCGAAAATTTATCTAATCAATTAATGATTTCATTTGAGCTTGTTTTAACAATAGAAAGATATATTTAACTTTAGGTAATGTGTTAAATTAAAGCATTTCTATTTTGCCCAAGGGAAGATTAGTACAAGTACTTCAGCTTTCTGAGATGGAAATCTCTGTAGATGGATGTCGTAGAGAGGTTGCAAAACAAACAAGGCAAAATCGATATCGATCGAAATTATTCGGTCGACAGCAACAATAATAACGTATTTTTCTATAAGGTGCAGATATTAGGGAATCGATACTCTAACAAATGAAAGTGAGTAGCGTTACGTTGCTAATGAAGTAGGTTGTGACACTTTTAAAGTTACATTTAGAAAACACGTCACAAGGTGTTACAGGTAGAAAAGTATCATATGTATGAATGCATAAAATTAAGGAAGTATTTACAGAGTGGTTATTTATTTATCTTTGTTATATGCCTTTTACGGGATGAAGAAAGTATGTATACCTTTGAATGGGAAATCTAAAACTTATTTAGGTTTTTTTAATCAAATAGTCCCATTGTTCATAGAATATTAAAGTTGATAAATTAGCTACTTTATCATATGTTCTATATTATATACACTAAGTGCTCAGCAAGAAAAAAGAGAAATACACAATAATTAAAAAATCCACTCACTTCTGTATTTAAATTCGATACAAAGGCAACTGGTGAGTAAGGAACAGAATTTCCTGTGGAATGAGAAGTCTCTTGAATCGCTAAATTAGGAATTAAAGGCCAAGGTAATGAATTGTGGTGATTTCTATTTTCAGATATCATAGAGGTAAGACTAGATAATGTTGTTGCTTGTGCTCGTAATAAATCAGATTGTGGACCAGATATACTTCCAGCAACTTTCACTACAAAGAATTAATAGAAAGTTAAGAAAATGTGCAGTTAAGTAAGAGAAAGAATGAAATGATTTACATAGAGTCCCTTTAATTTAAATAACGAGATCTAATCTTAAGGATAGGTAGTTTTTACAGTAAATATTTTCAGCTAGTAACTAACTTATGGGTAGATAATAGACAAAAGTTGGAAAAATTAAAGTGTAGGCTAAAAATATAAAAAAGAGGAATATAATGATACATAAAGTTATGACTGTATTTGAACAACACAGTAAACTATACTGGCTACTACTAAGTTATTATGAAAGTTAGGTTTCATCAGCTCGCTTAACGGTTAGAGAGTTAAACTGATTATAAATTCGTAACAAATGAGTATTAGAATTATTAGCAGTAAACAGTTTGCAAATTATAATTTAAATAACTCCAGTGTTATTTACAGGATGAAAACAGTCAATTTGAAGAACATAAATTAGAATGAAAATATTATTGATTGACGAGAAAAGTATTCCCAATCAAGGCTACTACTACAACTATTACCTCTCAAAACTTAATTCTGAACGTGTCTAAAATCATCGTTCATGCAAATGAATCAATATTTCAGGTTGATAACTGTTAACATATGTGTTAGCGGAACATAGATGAAATAAAGCATGACTGCGTTGGCTGCGCGCTGGTTGGCTAATTTCCTATTCAATCAGCGCCTGGCCCATACTCGGAGAACAGGCTAGAAAATTCTCGTATTGTTAGATGCACGCTGATTGGCTAAGTCCAATCCGGTCAGTGCTAGTCAATCACGTGAATTACATTCCAGAAGCTTCTCCTGTAAAGACTATAAGGACACTAACGTTGTATCTATTTTGCCTTCGCCATCGCCTTTGGTTCCTTATTTCCATTTAACCTTGCTATTCGGAATATAATCTTTTCCTGTTCCATCATGTTTTGATTCCTTGGAACTTGTCCAGTGTATTGTGGTCAAAGAATACTAGGCAATAGGAATTAGCTGGGAATTATTCAAGTTAGCGTTACAACAATATGTAATTGAAGGAATTTACCAGGGGCAGCTTAATTCACTTGTTTGAAGTAAATATATATTATAGTATCAATAATAATATCAATATCAATGATGAATCTGAATCAAGACAGCGTAGTACATAGTGGTTTAATAATAGTGTTTTCGGTTAGAACGATCGATTCCATATGATTAGAATGTGTTAACTAGTTACTTCTTAATCAGTCAAAATTGGTGGGCGGTCTCAGATAATGGTGGAAATTTCTGTGCAAACACTTGTGTTTTTCAACTTTGTATACGTCCTTTAGGTTACACATCAAGTGTCCAGGTTGTTTTATATTCGTAACAGTAAATTTGCTTTTAAATGTACCGAACGACAAGTGAACAGATGGGATACAAAATAACACCTAGCCCAATATCGCATTTTTAAAAAAATATATCACCATAAATGATAGAACAGATTACACTTTGTAGTAAAACAAGTGTTATTAAACAAAACAACAAACATACATAATGACTTGATAAGTCGATTAGCCAAAACACTTAAAAATACTGGATCCATAGATGATAATTTCTCTTCACTTAAGTCATCCATGTCACTTTTCATAGAAGGAGGAAAATTGTTAAATGTTTTAATCCCATTTGCCACACATGATGACATTTGATGATGATTCGACTCATCAGATTCATTCCAAGGATTTTGAATAAAATCTCTGCAACTATTATCTTCTCGATGAATTTCTAAAGTGGGTTGCCTTGAGAATTCAGTACGAAGAATGTTAAAATTGTTATCCATAGGAAATAATGGTACACCATTCATTTGCTGATATTGTTATGAGAGGATAAAAATGTATTGAACGTTACGATGTATAAACAATCAAAGAAATAATTCTATAAATGGGATCTTAGTTAACATAGTAAAAATCAATATATACAGTAAAACACATAAACTGAACATTTAATGCGCTACTGATTTGCTGTGCTAATTTATGTTAATGTGTTGAACCTCGAGATTTGCTCAGTTTAGTTTACTGTAAATTATGGTCATCAACGATGAAGATTTTCCTGGTAAAAAGAGGAGCTAATATTAAATCGATAGTACAACTAACACACAATGCTTCAACATTAATCCAAAACACAGGAATATAAAGTGATATTTAACAAGGATGAAATTGAAGTAGAACAAATTGGTACATATACCTCAACAAAGCGTGACCCTAGGACATGGGAAAGTTTAATAAACAAAAATTAGTAATAATTAGGGAAAATGTACTATGGGTTATATTTGTCAACAAATACTTATGGACAAAAATAAGATAATCCGTGATCGCCTAAGACTTAACGTGTAAAGCCTTAGCAGACTTTGTAAAATCTGTAATGCCCCATTGATCTTTACTATCACTTGATTGCATTCTTTTGAATTTAATCTGCTGGTTGTCTTTCCACGGTCATAGTTTTTATATAGACTGAGATGCTCTAATACAGTTTTGAATTCTGATGGGGAACATGACATTTTCAAAAGAGTTATTTTTCGCACTCTCGCCTATGCACTTGCGTTGTGTTCTATGAGTCATCAGACTTATTGAGTTAGCGCAGATCCAGTTTCTTATTAAAAAGCTATTACTTGTTCGTAATTACTATAAACCATCAACATGATCACAATAAGTTAGTCTTTTGGAGAAGCACTGAGTTGTTTTGTCTTGGTACGGGACTCCTCAAAGCTGCACATCCAATACTTCAAATCCTGAACATTCAGACTTTGTGGACAGCATCTAACCACGATGCTAGTGAGTTGGCATCTGATTGACATTCTTAACTTTAGTCAATTCATAATATCGCATGACTATCATTCCTTGACAACTCCGCCAGTAGAACCTTCTGGGCTACTGCCGGTCCCAAGCCCGGATGAAGGAGGAGGGTTGGACATGGGGTTGGCGACCCCATTCCGTCAAAAACTAACTTGCCAAAAAAACGCTAACCAGAAAAAATAGTTCAAACCATTTAAAATCTGCCCTGGGAGTTGGAAGAAGAATTATGGGGTCGCGTGATGAAAGCCGAGTTCCCTCGGAAGTCACGGGGCTGATGCCTCTTCTGACAACCAGACCAACCATTTTTTTAGGTACATGGAACGTTCGTACCTTGTGGGAGACTGGAAGACTATTTCAAGTTGCGGCAGAAATGAAAGATACAACTTCGAGGTGCTTGGCATCAGTGAAACACATTGGACACAGGTACGACAACCGAGACTAGCTTCAGGAGAACTGCTGTGATACTCTGATCATGAAGAGGAAAATGCTTCACATACACAAAGAGTTGCACTGATGCTGTCCAAACATGCACAAAAGGCACTGATGGGATGGGAATCTCATGGACCGAGGATCATTAAAGCATCCTTTGAAACAAAGAAACAGGACATTACAATGAACGTCATCCAATGCTATGCACCTACAAACAACTACATTGACGACGACAAAGATCAATTCTACGAAAGGCTGCAGTCAATCGTCGAGAAATGCTCACCAAAGGATATGACGATTCTTATGGGAGACCTGAATGCCAAGGTTGGCATGGACAACACTGGATATGAAGACATCATGGGACGACATGGACTGGGAGAAAGGAACGAAAACGGTGAGAGATTCGCAAACCTATGTGCCTTCAACAAACTGGTCATCGGTGGCACAATATTCCCGCACAAACGCATTCACAAAGCTACATGGATTTCATCGGACCACACTACTCAAAACCAAATTGACCATTTCTGTATCAACAAAACGTTCAGAAGGACCATGGAGGATGTGAGAACCAGGAGAGGAGCTGATATATCCTCAGATCACCATTTGCTAATCGCCAAAATGAAATTGAAACTAAAGAAGCACTGGACAATAGGGCAGACAACATCACAAAAGTTTAATACAGCCTTTCTTCGGGATACTGTAAAACTCAACGAATTCAAGATAGTGCTCTCCAATAGGTATCAGGCCTTGCACGATATACTCAATGGAGAGGAAGCAACATTGGAGAACAATTGGAAAGGGATTAAGGAGGCAATCACTTCAACATGTCAGGAGGTCCTTGGTCGCAAGAAGCAGCATCATAAGGAATGGATCTCTGTTGATACTCTTGCAAAAATTCAAGAAAGGAGGAACAAGAAGGCAGCAATCAATGTCAGCCGAACAAGAGCGGAGAAAGTTACCGCACAAGCTGCATACACAGAAGCAAACAGGGAAGTGAAGAAGAGCATCAGAGCTGACAAACGAAAATATGTGGAAGATCTAGCAACGACGGCGGAAAAGGCTGCAAGAGACGGAAACTTGAGACAATTGTATGAAACTACAAAGAAGCTCGCCGGGAACTATCGTAAACCAGAACGACCAGTGAAAAACAAGGAAGGCAAAGTAATCAGCAACACTGAACAACAGCGAAATAGGTGGGTAGAGCACTTTAAGGAACTCCTAAATCGACCAGCTCCTCTGAAGACACCCAACATCGAAGCAGCATCCACGGACCTCCCAATTAATATTGGCGCACCTACGATTGAGGAGATCAGTATGGCCATCAGACAAATCAAGAACGGCAAAGCAGCAGGACCAAACAACATTCCAGCAGAGGCAATGAAAGCAAATGTGGAAGCAACTGCGAAAATATTTCACATCCTCTTCAAGAAGATTTGGGGTGAGGAACAAGTACCATCAAATTGGAAAGAAGGATACCTCATCAAAATACCAAAGAAAGGCGATCTCAGCAAGTGTGAGAACTACAGAGGCATCACTCTTCTCTCAATACCTAGCAAAGTCTTCAACAGCGTATTGTTGAACAGAATGAAGGACTTCGTAGACGCCCAACTTCGAGATCAACAGGCCGGATTTCGTAAGGATCGATCGTGTACTGACCAAATTGCTACATTACGGATCATTGTGGAACAATCAATTGAATGGAACTCACCACTCTACATCAACTTCATCGACTACGAGAAGGCATTCGATAGCGTGGATAGGAAAACACTGTGGAGGCTTCTTTGACACTACGGTGTGCCTGAGAAAACAGTTAACATCATACGGGACTCTTATGATGGATTCGACTGCAAAATTGTACACGGAGGACAGCTAACAGACTCTTTCGAGGTGAAGACCGGTGTCAGGCAAGGTTGCTTACTCTCACCCTTTCTCTTTCTCCTGGTCATCGACTGGATTATGAAGACGTCAACATCTGGAGGGAAGCACGGTATCAACTGGACAGTTAGGACGCAGCTGGACGATCTGGACTTCGCAGATGACCTGGCTCTTCTATCGCACACGCAACAACAAATGCAAGAGAAGACGACCAGTGTAGCAGCAGCCTCTGCAGCAGTAGGTCTCAACATACATAAAGGAAAAAGCAAAATTCTCCGATGCAACACACCATGCACCAACCAAATCACTCTTGATGGAGATGCCTTCGAGAATGTCAACACCTTTACATATCTTGGCAGCATCATCGACAACCAAGGTGGATCCGATGCAGATGTGAGGACGCGGATTGGCAAAGCAAGGCCTGCATTTCTACAGTTGAAAAATATCTGGAACTCCAAACAACTTTCAATCAAAACCAAAATCAGGATTTTCAATACAAATGTCAAGACAGTTCTACTGTATGGAGCGGAAACTTGGAGAACTACCAAAGCCATCATCCAGAAGATACAAGTGTTTATGAACAGTTGTCTACGCAAAATACTTCGTATTCGTTGGCCAGACACCATCAGCAACAACATACCGTGGGAGAGAACAAACCAGATTCCAGTGGAGGAGGAAATCAGGAAGAAGCGGTGTAAGTGCATAGGACACACATTACGAAAAGCACCTAACTACGTCACAAGACAAGCCCGCACTTGGAACCCTCAGGGCAAAAGGAAAAGAGGAAGGCCAAAGAACACACTACGCCGAGAAATAGAGAAAGATATGAGAGGAATGAACAAACATTGGACAGAACTGGAGAGGGAAGCCCAGGACAGAGTTGGTTGGAGAAAACTGGTGGGCCGCCTATGCTCCATTGGGGGTAACAGGCGTAAGTAAGTAATCATCCCTTGGACCAAACAATGACACCTTTATTAGGCTTAATGATATCCAAATACATTAGCTGAGCTTTTTCATGAAGACTTCGAAGATTTATTTTCAAAGATAGTCATTAGTGAACATTCTCAGTTGTAAACAGGGTTTTCGGGCATTCTTCTTAATTTGTAGCTTATATTACGGATTGACTTGATTACTTTTTATAGTATTTAATGATATAACTGAAAGTTTTCACAACTATTTTTAGTTAGACTGAAGCGACTTGTAAAAAAGGGATTCTAATCGAATGGATGTTCACTAAAATTCATGAAATAAAGTTGATTATGGGACAATGATATAATAGAAAGAGTTAGATTTAATAAGAAATCCATACACGATATAACCACAAGGTAAAGTTATTGTAAAAGATTCTACATAAAGCAAAAGATTTGATACAAGTGGATGTGACTAAATAGTTATAGAAATTTCTCTACACAAAAGTTACTTATTAATATGCCATAAGTGTGTATTAATAGTAATTATAATACGTACTACTATATTACTCGGAAAACAACCTTCTTACCAATTTCGCAACATGAGCTGATATAGAATTACTGTATTCTAAAAATGCATGGCGCGAGTCGTTTTTCTTGAATGATATCACACGTAGTATTTGTCCGAATGGTCTAAAAGCCTAAAAATGCATTTATTGGTAAAATCGGTTGAAATAATCAACTAATGTTAACAGAATACTATAGCAAAATGTAAACGAAAAATTCGAAAGTAACTGAAGATGAAATAGTCTACTATCTGCGATTTTAAAGTTTTCATTTGTAAACTGAATGAATAACTAATCAGCACTAGAACATAATTATGGTGAAGCGACTATTCATAGTAACCATACTGGCTTTAAAAATTTCCTACTTCACCTCGGATTCATTTTTCATCTGGATAGCTCGACAGATGTGTTGCCACACATTATGCGAACATGGTGAGTGGAAAACAATATGAATTATAACGTAGTCGATGTAATTTCAGAATCAATTTGATAAACAATCAAACAAATACAGCCCTATTGGAAAGAACAAAATAGACCAATAAAGATTAAAGCTGACTATCTAGAAGACAAGTAGTGAATACCTTTGGGTCACTGGTAATGATTTTGAATAATTTCATTGACAAGTTAACAATCCGATTCTAGTCAAACAGTCATAGACAATGTGAGGCTTAGTTTGAGGCAGCTTGGAATGATATCAAAAAGGCTGTGATAACAGCAGTGATACCTGCTAGTAGAGTAAACCATAGGACTAGGAAGAAGACATGGAACCCAATGGAATCTATTTCACTAGATTCTACTTCGTGAATAATATCTTCTAATTCTAACCTCCAAGACTACTGCTAATACCTTTACTACCTCTATTACTGTTGGATTTGAATTGACAATTACATCTCTATGCTAATGTGGTATGGCAACATGAACTGATGTACGTACGTACGTACGTACGAAGTTCGACGTTGCTATTGATTGATTGATGGAATCCATCGAACTGATAGACGCTCGTAAACTCATCCCACCTGGCACTGAATACGATGAGGAGCGTAGTCAGCTCAGGCGTACGCTGATAAAAAGCCTACGCAATGGTCGCGAACAGGGGTGGATAGCGAAAGTGAGAGAGATGGAAAAGGCAACGGCAGTAGGCAACAGTAGAGAGTTGATCCTACTTAACAAAGAAACCGGTATCTGTTAGCGAAACTATCTCAGAAAAAGATGGCTGTATCATTCATTCTCAATCCAGGAGATTGGATCGATGGGATCAGTTCAACTGGCCTTCAACCACACTTCGGTTGCCCACGATCTACAGTCAACCTGAATGGCAAATCGATGTAATTCCCCCGACTCTTTATGAAGTTGAGAAAGAGATAGGAAATCTGAAGCGAGGGAGAGCAGCGGGTCCAGATAGATTTACCACTGAGATTATTAAGGATGGTGGTCCAGTTTTAGTAGATAAATTGACTAAGATCTTAGGTAGAATTTGAGAACTGGACGTATACCTACCTGACTGGTCTTAATCACTGATTGTCCCAGTCTGTAGGAAAGGACCAGTCTTCTTGTGAAAATCACAGAGGAATAAGCCTAACTAATATATCATCGAAAATATTGGCCTTAATAAAGCTCTAACGCCTAACGAAAGCTCGTAAAGAGCAGACTAGAGAAAACCAGGCTGGTTTTCGACCTGGACGTGATATGGACTAAATAATAATACTGCGTCAGGTCTTAGAACAAAGACACCCAAAGACGCCCCAAAACAGTAGTATTTCACGACCTTAAGCCGGCATCAGACTCAGTCAATCGTGAGGTTCTGCCTATGGCAGTGTCTGTCATTTAAAAGTGTACCGAACAAGTACATTAATCTTATACAAGCACTCTACTCGTACACCAATGGTTGTGACAGAGCTTATGGCGAACTGTCAACGAAATTCCTTATTTCAAGCGGTGTCGGGCAGGATATCCACTCTCTCCATTGTTGTTTATTTTGTCATAGACATGATGCAAGATATAACATTATCTTCGTCTGAATTTTCAGTAGTAGACCTTCTGCCAGGAAAATTACTGGATGACTTAGGATATGCCGATGACAAAGTTCTACTTGATGAAAACCCTGATGAAATTTTATATCTCATGACTATCATAAGCATGTTTAGTATGCGGTTTTCCCACTGAAAATGCAAAATACTGCTTCAGGATCAACCTTCGTCGGCATCTAAACTAATGATAGGGAGTGAGGCAGTTGAGCGTATCGACAGCTTCATTGATTTTAAGTCATCAGTCCTGATGGCCTGGTGACTGACCAAATCTCTGCACAGATACAGATAGCTCGATTAGCTTTCGCCAACCTGCATCACTTATGGAGCAGGCGAGATATCCGTTTGCTAACCAAAGGACGAGTGTACTGCGCAGTAGTTCACTTGGTCCTACTATATGGCTGTGAAACATGGCCAGTAAGAGTAGAAGATATCCGTAGGTTTCTGGTTTTCGATCATAGGTGTCTCCGAAGCATTGCTCGAGTATCGTGGGACAGCCGAGTATGCGATGCTTTGTTAGGAAACGGCTATTAGGTAAGTATGGCAGGTCAATAGATGAAGTAATGAAACTTCATCAGTTGTGGTGGTTGGGACATGTGGTACAAATGGCCAACCGTCGACTGCCTCGACCAGCTATGTTTTGTGGTGTAGGAGTAGGCCGGAAGAAAGCTCGGGGCGGCCAAACCAAAACATGGTACAAATGCATGAAGTTACTGACAAGTGGACTGAGTCATGTTGGTAGGTGTCGACTACCTGGTTGAGGTCTGTGAGATGATAGTAATCGATGGTTAGAGACCTTGGACGACATGGCTCAGAATCGTTTGCAATGGCGCAGGTGCATTCATTCTTTGTGTTCTCTCAAATCCTAAGTTTATTTCACTATATTCTACTTCTTGAATGATATCTTTGAACCTTAATCTCTCCGATTACTGCTAATGTTTTCACTACATCTACTACTATGGGATTTGAGTTGACAATTACATATCTGTGCTTATGTGGTATGGGAACATGAACTGATGTACGTACGAAGTTCTACGTTGTAACGGACTGATTTAAGGCTTACATATATGTTAACCGGAGTCGTTGTAGCATACCAAAACAGCGAGATGAATTACATTAATCACAACTGATCTAATTTACGATAGTGAAACGTTGGAAATGTTCTAAATATAAGGTATGTATAAAGGAAAAGTGAAACTGGAAATTGAAGAGGGGATAAGAAAGTGAATCCATCTGTGTGGTAGATGGGCATACGTAATACAGAACGCGGATTATTGTGCAGTATTAATGGCCTCCTCGTCGGAAATTCGAAGTAAAAATTGTGACAGTAAAGCATATGTGACAGCGTCAAGAAATAGCGTAAATGTCTAAAGGAATTTAGACAAGATAAGACGTGGTCGTTATCGATTTAAACAAATTGAATAAGCCATTCAAAACAAAAACAGACATATGTTAAGTTTGGTTAGAAAGTTCTGTCAAACTTTTAAGAACCTTATGACGATTATACGACAAAAGAGAGATGAGAATAATAATTAGTCGTATTCGGAGGAATACAAAGAAAAGGCGACGTAGCGAAAATCACTTAATCGACTGGAGGATGAATGATATGAAGTTAATTTCTCTTAATCCTTTGTGAAGCGAGGAAGAGTAATTATACGACGCAGTTAAATACTTAGATCAGTTGGTTACGAACGCTTAATTGTATGATATTGTAAATATATACGCACACACTAAGTTATTGATTGATCTGAATGTAAATGAATTATGTAGAAAGTAGTGTACTCATATATTGTTTTGATTAATTCCCAGTGCAAAACAAATGCATATTAGTGGTCATACTTCTTCACCACGCATCGTCTAATTCACGGATTTTAGTACCAAGCAGAAGTCAGCTTTGCAAATACGCAGGCACAAGTGACAAGGATGACCAAAGTGTTTTAAGAAACGAAGTAAAACATACCATAAAAAACGGAAGATAACCGATCTCCATGGAACAGTGCGGCTTTTCGATGTGAATATGTAACACAGTTTTAGGAGAGTCTTCATTTTCGCATCGAAATGCTACAAATTGTTTATTAGCTTCCTCAACAGCTGATGTGGCTGCATTATTAGTCATTGCGTTAGTGAGCGAAGAATATTTGCTAAATTGCATTTCTAAGGGATATTTTCCACGTAGAATCGGAGGACATATAGCTGTATAGTAGCCAAACATAGATTCCGCTGATTCCAAAGTATCCATTTCAATTAAAGCCTATGATAATAAAATTAACATTTAAGGAAATTAGATCTTTGAACTATAGAGGAAATAATACTGTAGTTTTACTGAATATCTTTACTGACATAATAAGACAAGTTTCTCACATAAACAGGTCATTCAGAGACAAACATACTAGGCAAGAACAATACTTTTCTAAGAGATTAAACTGATTATTCAATCGCCATAACATCAATATAATCTTTTTATCAAATGTTTCTGAAATGAATCCCGAAATTTCGTTAACTGAAGGTGATGTGGCAGTAGTCATTAGGAAACTTGGTTAATAACTTTGCTGTAGAACAATGAATTCATGCAGTCTTCTTTATCATTCATATAAATTATTTTAAACCTCTGTAAATGACAATCTAGTTAAATTGTTAGGTGGAACTGAAAACACTTAGGCGCAGAATTTCCTAGAATATTTCATTAAAAAATTAGGACATTGTATTATGTGAAAGGTCATATTTATTTCAAAAAGCTATTAAAAAGAAGGGCATTTCAACTAACACGCTTTTATACAGATCACAAATCAGTTAACTATCCATTACATAAAATTCTTATCATTGTTTACTCTTTATTATTTATGCGCTTGAATATCGTTTTTCAGAAAGTAACTAACTTTATTTACATAATAAGTAATTATCAAAGAAAACAAAATGTAATAAATAATAAACTGCATAATTAGAAAAAGAAAGTAATACTTGACTAGAGGCGATCACGTTATGTAATTTCATCAAGTATAATGATGAACGTTCTTCGTCAAGTCGATCAAGAATCATTGAAAAAATAAGTAATTTTGGTTAAGCCTCCTGACTAGTTACGTTCGTTTAAGCTATTCTAAAAATAATACTATACGTAATATAGGAAAATATATAGCGTGTAGACAGCCACCTATCAATGGCCCGGAAACTAATCAAACTAACCATGGCATTAGTTTTCTGAAACAGGACTGCCTTTTGATTTATTTTTCTTAGAACCCTTGTGCTTTGATCCTTGAGACTTGGTGTACTTTTAATAAACCTAACGCAGTTTATTCTTATAAGATTGATAAGAGTAACTCTTTGATATTCTTAAGAATAAGATGATCAGTACATTCCAATAAATCTCGAAAAGTTAATGTCAAACAAACAAGTAGAGTCAGATATTACAACTCACTCCTATTAAATGACAAGTAATATGTTTAAAAGGAAAAGATGGATTACGAAAAGTATCAAACCCAATAAGTCATACTTGACAATTCTTTCTTGTTAGTATCATATTGGCGATTGACCCAAATGGTATAGCTAACGTTGATACTTCTAGTTCATTTACATCGGTTGGTAAGCCCCGGATATGAAGAACACGCGATTCCGGTGAAAAATTTGATGATGTACTATCTAATCTAGCCTGTAATAAAATAGTAATAGTAATAATAAGAAAAGAACATCGACGCACTTGGATTTGCATTGTTTAAAAGATACTTTCACTTAGCATTTAAAAATCCCCAGAAGTGCAAAAAATTAGGTATAGTAATTGTTACCGATTTTTCTACTTTATAGAAAAGTGACGACTGTTCTAACTGTACTAGAAGCTATTGGCGAGTGTATCTTATAAACTCACTGAAATCTATACTAGTTCCAATAAACAATGAGGTGGCGTGTGATCTCGTTAACTTGTTAAATCTAGCACAAAAAAAATAAAATTTTCTTAAGTTTTACTTAGATATGAAGAATTTTATCATGATATTAAGAAAGGAGAGCACTAGTACATCGCGAGCAAGGCCCTAAATTTACTGTCCTTGGGAAATCAAAGAAACAGGTACGACTATCGATTATTATGATTCAACCTTTAGGTCAGTAAACTACAGCTACAAAAAGAAATACTATGTGTAAATTAGCAAAACTCACCTTCTTTGATTCGAAACGACTGGGGTCAACGATGGTCGGAACTTCAGTAAGAACTCTCTAAAACCAAATTAAAGAATCATTAGCTAACATGAATGAACAAAAACGTTTTACAATTCTAAAGGGATTTCAATCTTAACCTTACACACATCGACCGCGATTAGATTAGAATGGTATGCAAAACTGAATACGTTGCGTGAACCAAAAAAGTGTCAAGCGGCGGATTGTTGGTTAAGATGGCTAACATCCGGTTGCTAAGTCCTAGTCCCGAATGCCACACCACTTAAGTCAATCTGGGTCACCGAACAACATTATCAGCCCTTATACTCAGTATATGGTTTATGTGGAGATCAAAACCGAGTACAATAGCAATTGTTTGAAGTTATTGACAATCTTTTTACACAACTGGATGAGTAGAGAATTTTTAAGTACAAAATTAGAAGAATTAATTAGAACAATATCTACGTTAAATTTTCGTGTGTCGATAGTATGCTTAGACCAAATGAACAAGGAATCATTTAGAACGTAGAACCTGATACACATGTACATCGGTTCAAGTTGCCATACTACTTTAGCACAGACAAATAAAACTGACATGAGTCCCAGTATCGGTAGTATTATTCAAATAAAATAAATGGGTCAACTAAAAAACATGATGAATAATTCAGAAGCATAGAATATGGAGGGATACAAATAATGGATATAACTGGACCATTGTAAATGGTTTTGAGACACAATTCGAAGTCTTAAACGACGGGTTACGGTAATCACACGGACTTTAACCAGATAGTATGCACCACTGACATGACTCATTTCACTTGTCTATGACTTTATGGACTGATGCTGTTTTTCTTTGGCCACTGCTAGGTTTCTTTTAGCCTACCCATACACTAGTCACTATTGATAGTCTAAGAAACAGATGACTGGGTATAGGTAAAACCTGACCCATCCACCTAAGTTGGTGAAGATTCACTACTTTATTGGTCGACTTGACATTCTTACATAGTACTCCATCTTAATCACAGGCACTGCATACTCGATGACACTAGAATACACGAGCAATACTTCGAAGATACCTATACAATTACTAGTGACCTACAATCAAATCAACCAATCGATATCAACGTAGAACTTCGTACGTACATCAGTTCATGTTCCCATACCACATAAGCACAGATATGTAATTGTCAACTCAAATCCCATAGTAGTAGATGTAGTGAAAACATTAGCAGTAATCGGAGAGATTAAGGTTCAAAGATATCATTCAAGAAGTAGAATATAGTGAAATAAACTTAGGATTTGAGAGAACACAAAGAATGAATGCACCTGCGCCATTGCAAACGATTCTGAACCATGTCGTCCAAGGTCTCTAACCATCGATTACTATCATCTCACAGACCTCAACCAGGTAGTCGACACCTACCAACATGACTCAGTCCACTTGTCAGTAACTTCATGCATTTGTACCATGTTTTGGTTTGGCCGCCCCGAGCTTTCTTCCGGCCTACTCCTACACCACAAAACATAGCTGGTCGAGGCAGTCGACGGTTGGCCATTTGTACCACATGTCCCAACCACCACAACTGATGAAGTTTCATTACTTCATCTATTGACCTGCCATACTTACCTAATACCTGTTTCCTAAACGATCGAAAGAAGGGTTGGTGGAGCAGATAAGAGAGTTATTAAGAGGTCCAGAAAGGATTTGTTTGTAACCGATTTGGTCTCGTGTGCTTTTAATGGGCATGAGGGCGGTTGTCACTTCCCGGCTGCCCATATCGTGGAAGGTTGTCCATTGAGGAACCTAGAAATGAGTGTTTGTCTTAACTACCTGGGAGCGTGAACACAGATTTCAAGGGAAAACTTCTCAACGCCGGTCACGCACGGCCTTTTTATGAAGGGTTTTTAGAGTATTAGCTCCGCTCTTAAAAGCCCGTAGTGGGCACCCTTACCGCCGGAGACGGAAATCCGTCAGGTAGGGTGAGGTGTGATATTTTTAGGGTCGACCTTTTCTAACCCTTCGTTCCTTGTGAGAACGCAGCAGATGCTAGTTGTCCGAGAGGAACATCTAACTGCTGTCACACACATCTGCAGTCAGCAATACGACTTTGCCCCCAAACGTTGAGTAGCTGATTTTTGTCTGATCGTTCTCCAATCGACCTGCCTGGCATGGTAGAGCCTACAGTAACAATGTTGCAGCCAATATAGCTCGGTTGGGCCATCACGATAGGCAAGCTCGATCACCACGTCAAGGCAGCATATACGGTCGGGTTATTTAACTGAAATAGCGCTCTGAGGAGACAGGTAGCGGTATTCCATTGGGTGCCTAATGAAATAACTTGGAAGTTAGCTTCACTGAATTCTTAACTAGAATCTGGTAGCTGGATACGATCCTATCTGACAGGTTTCAAATCTCAACTTGGATGTGTAGTCCGAATATTTACACTTCGTCAGGTCCTAGTCCATAAACATACATTTCGACGTCCGACAATATTAGTGGGACATAGAGAGAGCGTTATAACAGACAGTAATTTTGTTCTTTGACCTTCGTCATGGTTGTCCGCTCTCATTTTATTTAAGTTTATTGTAGATATACTTCTAGGGATAACGTTATCATTGTCTAACTTTCCAGAGGTCGAGCATTTACTAGGAGATTCACTTGTTGACTTGTAATACGCAGACAATACATTTTTCTCTAGTGTAGACACTAACAAAGTTCATTGTGTTTTAACAATGCAAATAAGTTTAGGATGATCATCTCTCTGTAAATACAAAATGTTACTTAAGGATCAACCTTCGTCGGCACCTAAATTAATGATAGGGAGTGAGGCAGTTGAGCGTATCGACAGCTTCATTGATTTTAAGTCATCAGTCCTGATGGCCTGGTGACTGACCAAATCTCAGCACAGATACAGATAGCTCGATTGGCTTTCGCTAACCTGCATCACTCAGGTTCATGCACACTACTTACTAAGAGTTGTCGCAACTTGGAGTGCTCTCCCAGCCGAAGTAATCACAGCCCCTTCAGTGAACAGCTTCAAGAAGAGACTTGATAATAACGTACCTACATACAAATTATCATCTTTCTCTTGGAACAGCTGTGCCTGATGCATGTCTCGAGACTTTCTGATTGTTAGTAATGTGAATTCTTAAGATCACCAACTTATTTTCGCTTATTATCTGTGTCCAATATCCAATATCCAATATCTTTTTCACGAGCTAGTGTAAACCAATTTGATTTCTTCGCGCTCGATTCTTGTTCTTTCGGTACGGTTCCAGGTGTTCGGTAATGTCCAATGGATGGAGGTCTAGCCACTCGACTGTCTAATTCTAGTCAGTTGGCAGTTGGTTGTGAGTTTGTATGTCTCGGGATTTGAATGAAACGTTTGTTTCAGGGCAGTAGGGTTTCTGGATACTAGCAGCCGTCACTTTACCAAACCGGAGATCAGTTAGTTGCAATGTGGAGAGTAATAAGGGTAATAAGCATAAATGAAAATGATAATATGAATAAAATTTCAGAACTGAGTAATATATAGATGAATTTAGTTTATTAATTGGTAGTGAAGGTTGTGAGAGAGGACCGAAGTGTAAGCAAGGGAGAGGAATAGGCGAGTTAAATTAATTAAGTGATCTGAGGAGATGGCAATGGTAACAACTAGCAGGTCTCAAGATATGCATCAGGCACAGCTTGTCCAAGAGGGAGATGATAGTCCGCATGTGAGTACGTGATTATCAAGTCTCTTCTTAAAGCAGTCCACTGAGGGGGCTGTAACTACCTCGGCTGGGAGAGCATTCCAAGTTGCGACGACTCGCAATGAGAAAAAGTGTGCACGAACCTGAGTGTTTGCTCTTTGATGTGCAATCTTTTGAGGATTGCCTCGAGGGGAGTGGTGGTGATGCATCGGTAAGATGCTCACATTGGGATGGTTGGGCGTGTTTAATATGGTGTACGCCATAATCAGGTCACCTCTGATTCTCCTGTAGCTCAGTGGGAATAATCCCAAGAGCTGGAGTCTATCGTCGTACGGTTTATTTTTCAGCCCTATCACCCATTTGGTTGCTCGTCTCTGCACTCGATCCAAGAGATTAATGTCTCTTTTAAGCATAGGGGGTGCGATGACGTTGTGAACCTCCAAGTGTGGGCGCGCGTACGTCTTAAACAGGGTTAAAAATAATTTCGGGGTTATAGCACCAAGCTGTCTTCGCATAAAGTGAAGAGTCGCATTTGCCTTGGCTGCATCCCCTACATAGTTCGGACTCGTGTGGAGGCTTTCTGTGGTTATTAAACCAAGATCGCGCTCTGAGGAGACATTAGGGAGCGGACTTCCATTGAGAAAGTAGGTGGTTTGCGTCATATGAGGCAGGAAATGCATGACGTGGCACTTCGGTTGGTTAAGTTTTAAACCGTTTTTCACTGCCCATTCCTCAATT